CTCCTGGACCAAGCCATCCATGACACCATCGGGCCTATGGCTATGGAAGAAGAGGAAGCCAATGGAGATTCTCACTCGATCTCCACAACCTGTTCCACGGAAACTATATTCGTGGCACAAGATAACACTGGACAGCTAAGCCCGGGATTCCTCTTCCCGCCACAAAATCAGTGGAAAAGAACTGACCCGATTGATATCATTGGCGCGTCAAACTGAGAGGCAGGGTCACCAAACCTACTTGGTGCACCCTTCCCAACAGAATGCTGGGAAACCTCCGCAACTTGCAGGAGCGACATCTGGTCGAACCGCGATCGAGTGTCAGATGCAAGATTCCGAATCCCTCGTGATGATCCTGTACTGCTATGCCAGTTGACCAACGAAGACCTATTCCACGATGAACTCATCAACAGTCTTCTTCTTCAATAAATCTTTTTACAGACTTCTTACTTTGTATTCTGTCCCCTCTTTTCCAAAAACTCTTTTTTTCCACTTCCTACACACACGGCCCGTCTTAACCCAGACAGCCTATTCTAGGTACTTCATCCCTTCCCCTGCACTGGATCCAATTAAGCCTGCAAAAAACCGGCATCCTTGGCTCAAATCAACCCCGGTATAAAATCCACCCCGGTAACCCCGTTAAAAGAAACCCCGGTAAAAACAGACCCCGTTAACCCCGGTAAGAAATCAATCCCGTTAACCCCGGTAGAACTAACCCCGTTAAACCCCGGTAAAACAAACCCCGTTAACTAACTCCGGTTTTTAGACCCCGTTAAAACTAACCCCGTTAAAAAGAAACCCCGTTAAACCCCGTTAGACACCCCGCTATCTGAACAGTATAAATAGAACCCCGAAGAGTGAGTTTTATTAATCAGTCTGAAGAGTACACCCAAGTACGAAACTAGTCACTGATAACTAGGGATAACTGGTCGCCTCGCCCATTCTTATCTCGTATATTCAAAATGTTCGTAAAAACTCATAACTCATATTTCCTTCTTTTTGTGGTTCTGGATTTCTAATTATACTTGTTGATGCTAGAGTTTCCGTTTCCAATAACATATCAAAATGACTCAATGTAAATTCATCTTCTTCTTTATCTGGTATGATTAACATTCTAAACCTGTCTATATATTTTCCACTCGTTTTAATTTCATTTAACTGACGAGGCTTGCTGTTTTCTTCGTTAATTTCATATTTCTACACTGTATCCACCATTGATAAACTAAAGAACTGTTTGAGCGTTAAATTTTTTATATAAACTAAAGTTTTGTCTGAAGAATATTGATTCAACTTTTACCTGAAAAGGAAAAGTTATTTCAATTATAACTTTTCCTTGGAAAATAAATTGTCTTGATTGACGAAATTCAACCATATCAAAAAGACCTGAGGGGAGGTTAATAATACCATCTTCACCAGAATATACTCTTATATTTACTGTAAATCCATATTTTTTATATTCATACTCTCTTGATCTATCAATATTATCAGTAATAGAAGCATCATCGTCACGTCTAAAACTTACAAATGGAAGATTGAAATAATATGATTTATTTTCTTGCTTGATTTGCTTTTCTAATGTGACTATATTTTTATCCTGTTTCAAAACTAGGTTATTAATAGTGGTTATCTGTTGTTGAATAACACTATCATCAATGTTCTGTATTTGTTGTTGAATATAGGTTTTGATTTCGCTATCATCTATGTTTTGTATTTGTTGTTGAATATAGGTCTTAATTTTGCTATTTTGTAGTTTAATATTTCTTAGTTCTTTTTGGAATTCACTGTTAAGTTTAGTTTCCAGAGCATTTAATTCCTGTTGAAACGTATCTTCATTTTCATCTGGAATGTTATCTATTAATTGTTGAATGTCTAATTTCCAATCTTATCCTCTAATTTAGATATTAATGAAATTAAATTTTGTAACTCAGTTTTATTCGCTACGTTGACCAATTCTTTTTGAATAAAACTTATTAAACCTTTAACCTCTTGTTGTAGTTTTTAAAATCATTAATAAAATTTTTTTTATTTAGTTGACGTTTGAAGAATCTTTTAACATTACTTATTTTATCTTCTAAATGGTTTTTTTTTACTTCAATTGAATTTATTTGTTCCCGTAAATATTTCTTGTGAATGGCGTCATTATCGGAGATTTTAAATTAGTTATGGTAAAATTGTTCATATCTAAATCACCTTGAAGTGTGTCTCCAATTTGATCCACAAAATAAGGTTTCGCTTTATTTATCCAAGCTGTAGTGTAGTTTTTTAGTTTCTAAAGATAAAGAAACTAATCCAGACTTATCTGCCATTTTTATTGAGTTAAATTTATTACAATTTCTTCGAATTGTTTTCCTAAACTCAACTGATATAAAACCCAAAGTGAAAGCTGACAACAAAACTTTTGTCCCAGTAATTGAATTTGAAAGGAAGAACATTTGATTGGTTTATTAGTCAATTGCATTATCTCTTCAGTTGGTTCTAATCCATCAGAATCAAAGAAATATAAGTCATTTGAAGAGTCTTTGTACAAAGCAGAATGATGAACTCATTTTTGATCGGAAGTATGTATATTTGTTATAGTGTAAAATTTACCATTCTTATATTTGAGATCATTATTTCATCTCTCATACAATAATAAAACAGTGATATATTTAACTCATTCTCCCATCTCATAAGTTAAAAGTTTGTGGTTGTATCAGTTCCATATTCATCGAGAAAACTATTCATTTTTAAAAGTCGGTTTTTTGAAGTTCGTTTTGATAAAACCTTCCTATGATTTGTTCTTTGTCTTGATCGATTAATTCAAATGTCGGAGGTAATGTGGTGTTTACTTTATCAACGATGAATATTTCGTTTGTCCAGTATCCAACGTAACCTTTTTCGAATTTACTTTTATATTTGAAAATACAAACTCGATCTCCGACTTTAAATTTGGGTTTGATATTTAAATTCTTTATTTTATTTTCGTAGTTATGTTGCGCGTTAATTGACTTTATAATATTTGGATTACTCGAGGCTTGTGTTGGTGTGACACCTATAGATGAATGAATTTTATTATTGTATTCATCTACAACCTCTGGTAATATTTTAAGCCATTTTTGAGATTTCAATTCCGTGAATTTTTTGAATAATTTATTTTTTAGAGTTCTATTATATCTCTCAATAACTACAGCTTTACCTTCATTATGTGTACTGTAAATTTCAAATCCCAGAGATTTCATATTTTTTTATAAAATTCACTTCCTTTATCTACCCACAGTTTTTCTGGATGTCGGTTAGATTGTTTCATAATCGTTTCAAATGCGTGTTTGACTGATAATCCTGTTTTGTTTATCTCGTATACAAATCTATAACTGTTAAGCAATATTTATATCCTCTTTCGACTGGCATATTAATTAAATCGGCTGACCATATTACATCTTTTTCAAATACTTTAACTTTTAAAAAGTTTTTAGTTTTTCTAAATTCTTTATGAATTTCATCTGCTAATCCCATACCCAATTTCATCTTTGCTTTTAACAGTTTAATGATTAATACTCTTTGCATTCTCTTTTTGAAAGTTGGATTTGGAATATTTTCAAGTTCGATTATCATTTGTCTGTCTGCTTCGTGTCTGAAGTTTATGTCTTTGTTTCTGTATAGTATGTCGTGTTTAAGCGCAGCGGCGTCAACTCTATTGACTGGTTCTTCCCCTGGTTTGGCTTTATCGTTTTCGTCTAATCGCAGATCTAACCTAGTACCTGGACCAGTGTAATTATGACCGGGAAGATGTTTTTCTGCGGAATATTTCGCCCATGGAAATCCAGGAAGAGAACCCAATGATTTTTGTATATCTCTTTAACCAAAATAAGTTTTTGGAGTGTGAGCGACTATCATTTTTATCCTATAACTTTAAAACCTTTTCCTTTCCTTTCTTCTAATCTCCTGTTTCGCAGTTTTCTTATTAGCTCTATTCTTTCAAATTCACTGTGTCGCTTATACTGTAGCCCGCTTCCGCGATTGAGCCGATGGCTTTCGCTCTGGTTGAAATGAGTGATTTGTTTTTTGAAACAAAGCTAGCTACTTTTGGAATTATTGTTTTACCTAGAGAAAATAATGAAGAAAAGATACCGTCGCCCGAATAATCTTCGAATTTGTGTTGTTTGTGTTTTAGAATTAAACTCATCCTATTTTTAAATGAGTTAATTTAACGAAGAAATTGTGGTCTGTATTTTTTTTATCCAATAAAGAGTTATCTCCCTTTTCTAGAAGTTTCTAGACTAAAAATAACATTATTTAAAACGAGGCTATTAAAATACCGGATGTTAAGCGAAACAAGGAAGTTATTTTTATATAAGGGTATTTTTAATATGCTTTTTTTTTGATGGAATGTAGGAAATTGATTGAAGGTGTTTTTTGGTGTAATAATTTATAGGGAGTTTAGGTCTTTTAGTGTAAGAATTTATGAAATGAAGGGTATTTTTTTAGTGTAAGAATTTCATGAAATGTAGGGTGTTTTGCTGTAAGAATTCATGAAATGTAGGGAGTTTAGGTCTTTTTTGGGAGCTTATATATTGGTCGCATTTTCCCCATGAAATGAAATGGAATGGGGAATCCCCATGCGACCAATATATAAGCTCATACACTACTAGTCAAGGGCAATAACTCAAAAAGCGTCAAGTTAGAACTTGTCCGAGATCTTAAGAATTCCAAAGATCACACCAAGTTTCATCAGAATCGGATGAAAACTGTACCTTCAATCCTGCTCCAAACAATTTTTAACAAATTTCAAGGCGTTCTAAGTCAAGGGCAATATCTCAAAAACCGTTCATCGAAAATATGTCAAATTCGAACTTGACAGAGATCTTATCAATCTAAAGCATCACACCAAGTTTTATCAAAATCAGATAATAACTGTAGTCTCTATAGTGCTCACAAGAAATGTTGACGGACGGACCGACGGACAGGGGCGACGACAATGTACGACCACATATTCATGTGGGCGTATAAAAATATAATCTACTGACCCGGCCTGGTTGTATGACCTCAAACTGACCAATCAGAGCGTTTTGAATTTCCATTAGTTTCTGTACATCATCCTATAAATACAATGATATAGTTGTAACTTAAATAAATAATAACTTAACTTAACAAATATTGACCCGTTTTAACAAAGTCAAGGGCAATAACTCAAAAACCGTTCATCGAAAATGCGTCAAGTTAGGGTTTGTCCGAGATCTTATGAATTCCAATGATTACACCAAGTTTCATCAGAATCTGTTGAAAACTGTAGCTTCAATCCTGCTCACAAACTATTTTTAACAAATTTTGACGCGTTTTTACAAAGTCAAAGGCAAATAACTAAAAAACCGTTCAATGAAAATGCGTCAATTTAGAACTTGTCTGAGATCTTATCAATTCCAATGATTACACCAAGTTTCATCAGAATCGGTTGAAAACTGTAGCTTCAATCCTGCTCACAAACTATTTCTAACAAATTTCAAGGCGTTCTAAGTCAAGGGCAATATCTCAAAAACCGTTCATCGAAAATATGTCAAATTCGAACTTGACCGAGATCTTATCAATCTAAAGCATCACACCAAGTCAATATCAATATCAGATGAAAACTGTAGTCTCTATAGTGCTCACAAGAAATGTTGACGGACGGACCGACTGACAGGGGCGACGACAATATTCATGTGGGCATATAAAATTAATCACACCTTCCCTCTTAAGTTAACTTATAAATAATAACTTATAAAATAATCACTCCTTCCCTCTTAAGTTAACTTTTAAATAATAACTTAACTTACAAAATAATCACTCCTTCCCTTTTAACTTAAATAAATAATAACTTAACTTATAAATAAGTCAACAATATCTTAAGAGAAGATTTTTTTTTCGATTTTGTAAATCTTCACTTACCCCTTGTCTTGTACTTTGATCAGCATGGTCGGCTACTTTACTAACAATCTTCAATGCATCTAGAAAATAATATAAACAAACACTTTACTAACAATCTTCAACGCATCTAGAAAGTAATATAAACAAACACTTTACTAACAATCTTCAACGCATCTGGAAAGTAATATAAACAAACACTTTACTAACATTCTTCAACACATCTAGAAAGTAATATAAACAAACACTTTGCTAACAATCTTCAACGCATCTAGAAAGTAATATAAACAAACACTTTACTAACAATGTTCAACGCATCTTGAAATTAATATAAACAAACACTTTGCTAACAATCTTCAACGCATCTAGAAAATAATATAAACAAACACTTTACTAACAATCTTCAACGCATCTAGAAAGTAATATAAACAAACACTTTACTAACAATCTTCAACGCATCTGGAAGGTAATATAAACAAACACTTTACTAACATTCTTCAACACATCTAGAAAGTAATATAAACAAACACTTTGCTAACAATCTTCAACGCATCTAGAAAGTAATCTAAACAAACACTTTACTAACAATGTTCAACGCATCTTGAAATTAATATAAACAAACACTTTACTAACAATCTTCAACGCATCTAGAAAGCAATATAAACAAACACTTTACTAACAATCATCAACACATCTAGAAAGTAATAAAAACAAACACTTTACTAACAATGTTCAACGCATCTAGAAAGTAATATAAACAAACACTTTACTAACAATCTTCAATGCATCTAGAAAGTAATAAAAACAAACACTTTACTAACAATGTTCAACGCGTCTAGAAAATAATATAAACGAACATTTTACTAACAATCTTCAATGCATCTAGAAAGTAATATAAACAAACACTTTACTAACAATCTTCAACGCATCTAGAAAGTAATATAAACAAACACTTTACTAACAATCTTCAACGCATCTAGAAAGTAATATAAACAAATACTTTACTAACAATGTTCAACGCATCTAGAAAGTAATATAAACAAACACTTTACTAACAATGTTCAACGCATCTAGAAAGTAACATAAACAAACACTTTACTAACAATCTTCAACACATCTAGAAAGTCATATAAACAAACACTTTACTAACAATGTTCAACGCATCTAGAAAGTAATATAAACAAACACTTTACTAACAATCTTCAACGCATCTAGAAAGTAATAAAAACAAACACTTTACTAACAATGTTCAACGCATCTAGAAAGTAATATAAACAAACACTTTACTAACAATCTTCAACGCATCTAGAAAGTAATAAAAACAAACACTTTACTAACAATGTTCAACGCGTCTAGAAAATAATATAAACGAACATTTTACTAACAATCTTCAATGCATCTAGAAAGTAATATAAACAAACACTTTACTAACAATCTTCAACGCATCTAGAAAGTAATATATAAGAAGAACATGAACAATAATAACAGGAGTAAAATATCTGGTAGAATATACATATCAAGGTTTGGTTGAACACATACTTGTTTGGACTCTTCATATTTTATTACATAGAATTACACGTCATGATGGTACATCACAACTTTAATCAAATAATAATAATAACTTACTAATAGTATTCTGATAATCAGGAGAATCTGTTTTTAAATGTTTTAAATAATCTGAAATAAAACCAAAATATAACTTTATTTCTAATACTTGATATAAATATTATAAAATAGTAGGGGGCCCTAATAATAATAATAATAATAATAATAATAATTATAATAATAATAATTTCAACACTACCTTGTAACAAGAGTCTATATTGTGGAATTCTCTGAATTGGTTTTAACATGTGATGTTTTAAAGCTAGACTGGCACACCGTGGACTAGACTGAAATATTTTAAACATGAAATAAATTTAAATTGTCTTCAGTCAGAACAATATCAGCTAAATAGATCAAAACGTCCCCTTAATAAATCATGAATCTACCTGACTGATAAAAGAACATAGATTTCCAATAATATTCCATAGGCAACCTTTTACAGGACTCGTTCATACCTGATGTTACAGAGAGTCCACATATCTAACAATGTCTATTCAGTATCCCTTTCAGAGAGTCCACATATCTAACAATGTCTATTCAGTATCCCTTTCAGAGAGTCCACATATCTAACAATGTCTATTCAGTATCCCTTTCAGAAAGTCCACTTTTCTAACAATGTCTATTCAGTATCCCTTTCAGATAGCCCACATATCTAACAATGTCTATTCAGTATTCCTTTCAGAAAGTCCACTTATCTAACAATGTCTATTCAGTATCCCTTTCTGAGAGTCCACATATCTAACAATGTCTATTCAGTATCCCTTTCAGAGAGTCCTCATATCTAACAATGTCTATTCAGTATCCCTTTCTGAGAGTCCACATATCTAACAATGTCTATTCAGTATCCCTTTCAGAGAGTCCACATATCAAACAATGTCTATTCAGTATCCCTTTCAGAGAGTCCACATATCTAACAATGTCTATTCAGTATCCCTTTCAGAGAGTCCACATATCAAACAATGTCTATTCAGTATCCCTTTCAGAGAGTCCACATATCTAACAATGTCTATTCAGTATCCCTTTCAGAGAGTCCACATATCTAACAATGTCTAACAAAAATATTCAGTATATTTTAGCTGTTATTTTAATATTAAATCAACCATACCTCAAATTGTCTAACAGCAGCAGCGAAAACTGGATTCTTTTTCATATTATCATCTAAAATGGATGTTGAATTCTTAAAATTCTTGATATAACTTGAATACATCTTTAAAAATGGTCCCTTCTTTACGAATATATCAGCTACTTTCTGGTGTTCTTCCCTAAAAAAAAAAATAAAGGATGAGTTTAAATAAGAATGTAAATGAGAATTTCCTACGGTATGGGTCATACACAGATTCAAATGATATCTTTTACCATGTTATAGTCTATCAAAATCAATTTAAACTTACCACTTTTGAATTCTTTCGTTTAAGTCCCGTAGCAAATCCTCGTTAAAATTTTGTAATTGTGGTAAAAAGTCAAGGATTTTATTGAGCACTTCGTTTGAAATAACCGGTTTATCAGATTGTTCTGTAGCTTTCGACATTGCCACTCGAAAATCCTGAAAAATAACAAGATAAATAGGAAGTTTAACATTCTGATGGTAAGAATAACACTAGAGATTTACCTTATTGACCACTGAAGATGTACAGCAAATTAAATAACACTAGAAATTTACAGAAAATCAACATGAAATACTAAAAGAGTTTGAGTACTCCTAAAAAGATTGCCAATTAATAAACATAATAAATAACATAATAAATAACATAATAAATAACATAATAAATAAACATAATAAATAACATAATAAATACAATTGAGAAAGATGAAAAAAATGTCGTACCACATTGAGCAGTTTAAGAACATCAACAAACACCATTTCAGATGTCATTATTTCTTTTGCTGTTAAAAACGCTTTCCTGTTTCTCTTAGCATCCTGGAATGACAGTCAAGAACAACTTATATTGTAAACATTATAACAGGTGAAAACAAAATATAGGTTTTCTTTTATCAATCAACAAGTAACAATCTAGTGATGTAACTTACCATAACTTCCTCATCTTCTTCTGATTCAGACCCTGATGAATCATTCTGATTATTTTCTAAAGAACCACTTTCAGAATAACTACTCTGTCCACTAACACCACTGACTGGTCGTGATTTATCTGATTTTGGTGTCGAAGATCCTGATTTATTCTGTTTAGAACTTTTACTGTAACCATCATCTATTTTCTCTCCTTCACAACTTTGATCAATACTCGGATTTGAACTTTTTATAGACCCACTGGACTCAGACAACCGATCTATAGACTCTTTCATCAGGTCTTTTAAAGATTCACTGTAATTTCTGGGTGGCAATTGTGGAGGAGGCGTAGTTTCTTTCGTTCCTGATTCCAATTCGTGAATTGATGGTGATTTATCACGAGAAACTGGTGAAGGAGGTTCATCACGAACCAGGTTGTCTGGTATTTCGTGATAATCGTGATCTGATGAGACTTTAGAGACATTGTGAAGAGGAACTGTCGTGTCTAGATCAATTTCCACTGTTTCGCCTGTAATCAGTGGATCAATGTCCGTCACTAAAAATCCCTTTGATTCCTGATTGGATAATTTAGGAGTATTTTCATTTTTTGGAGATTCTGTTGTTGACTTTTGTTTGGAGAGTTTTGATTTTGAGGGATGATTTTTTAATCTTGAAAGTGAAGGGGGGTTTTCAGGGGGAGGGGGTGCTTTCCTGACTGGGGTTGGTTTAGTATCTGAGGTTGGTTTAGAGTCAGGAGTCTGTGGTTGAGTAGATTTTAGAGCAGATTTGATCAATCCAGCTTGTCTGTTAACCTTAGAGACATCCTCAGATGATGACATACTATTAGTGTCTGGAAGATCTTGTGGTTTATTTCTGGGGGGAAGGGGAGGCGGTTTATCAGGGGTGGGGAAGACTGGGCGTTTTGGCACTGGGGGAGGCTTGGCTTTTTCATCCACAAGACTTCTCATTCCTGTAACATCAGACTGACTACGACCAACTCGTGGTAAAGTTGTTCGTTTGGGTTTTGGTGGACATTTCTTACGAGTCCCTGCATCACTACAATTAGAATCCAGACTTTCTGTGGATCCTCCACTAATAGATTCCAGATCTATGTGTCGAAAAATTTTTGATGCAGCTCGTTTTGGGCGTGGGGGTGGTACTGGGGTGGAAGACATAGAACACCTAGATTGAGACCGGTCTGCTTGTGTTTTCTCAAAACTAGTTGGGTCCATCGAATGACGTCGAGGCACTACTTGTTTTGATTTGTCTCCATTTTCTAATTCTTGAACATCCTCTACTGGTGGCTCGCAATATTCTGGTGGCTCCAATTTCAGATCTGATGTGTTGTTTAATGTTTCTGCATCTGCCAATTTTTTGTTCAGTAGAGCCTCGATTTCCTTTAACATATCACAAGTTTCTTCTGGAGAATTCTGAGCTAAATGAGGAAGTTTTGCTTCCTTTTCCTCGGTATTTTCCTGTTGAGCAGACGACACTTCCAGACTTTCTGTTTTTGAAATAACGCTGAGATTGTCTGTAGAAATGGAGGATACGGAAGTTTCAAAACTTTGTGTATCTTGTGATGTGAGAGACAACGACATTGACACGTTACTGTCCGTCAAACTTTCACTCTTACTTGGGGATTTCATAGAAATATCCAGCACCTCCGTTCTGCATCCCATCATTTCCGTCAAATACGAAGAATCACTTGACAGATCTGAATCACTTTCCTGACGAAATTTTCCAAGACTGTTCCGAACTTTTGGCACTGGTCGTGAAGGTAGTTTACATTCAATATCCTCCATTGAGGGTGATTTTAATCGTTTGTCAAGGTCATCAGTTTCAATATTATTGTTTTTAACATCCTTGTCTTCCGTTTCCGTGGTAATATTTTTCTGTCGTGTTTTTGATCTTGGAGTAACAGTTTCTGGTATTTCACTATATAAATGTTCTGAATGGGTAAAAAATGAACTATTATCAGTCTCTATTGCACTCTCACCCGATTTATTCTCAATTTCCTTATTATTTACAATTTCTAGTACATCTGGTACATCTACCTTCAATATAGCACTATTGTCTTCATCTTTTACTACAGCTGCATCCACATGACTTGACACCACACTCTCTTGTTGACCTTTAACCTGACCTGACACACTCTCTTGTTGACCTTTAACCTGACTGGCTTTGGAAGGGAAATCGATCACAGTTTCTTTAGAGTTAGGGCAAGTCTTTATCCTATAAACATTTCTTTTAGATTTTGTAACCGACGCTGGGGAGGTGATTGTTTTTTCTACTTTAGAGTTATCCGCCTTAGTAACAGTCTCGCCAGTACAAACTTTTCCGTTTGGTGTTGATTTTGATGTGACCTCTGAACTTTCATTGGCAGCAGTCTCTTCTTTTTGATTGGCTGATTGTGAATCATTAGGTTTGAATTTTTTGGGTAAAACTTTCGGTGTCCTACAGGGTGAAGCTTTAATACCAGGTGATCCCTTGATATTGCCCCTGGGTGGCGTGGCTGGTAGAGGGGGTGGGGGTGATTTTGGAGAATCTGAAATTAGTAAGATGATATTATTAATAGAAAAGTTTTTTTGTGATTCTAAAAAAAAACTTACCCTAGACCACCTCCTATGAAGACCTCATTTAATTTGTTATTTTCCTAGTGAATGTCAGGTTACAGTCGAAATCAACAGATCTTATACAATTTATAGACTTATAGTACAAAATCTTTTAAAAACTACAGAATACAACTTTTCTCACAAGCCCTGACTTAAACTAGAAAACAAAACATTGTACCAACTTTCTATCAGCATTCTGTTGTCTGATATCCTAAACTGTCAAGCCATTATAACTTATTCAAAATATAAGTTTCTATCTTTAAAAAGATGTCACCTGGCAATGTTTCACCCCAAAAAAACTACCTGTACCATCCTACCTCATACTATTACTTACACAAAATCACTACTGGAAGTCAGTAAAATACAGCTATTAACAGGTGGGTGAGGTCATATACTTAATGTTTATATTCAAAGTGAAATGAAATGAAGTTTTTGAGTCCTACTGATTAGCACTTAAATAAACTAATGAAGATTGCCAACACCATGCAGTGTACAATGTATTTAGGAAATGTCAAGATACTTAAACTCAAATGATATCGAAACATTCCAGAACCTAAACAGAGTTTAACTGAACTGTTCATATTTTATACTGTTTTTGTTTGCTACTCATTAAAACAACAAGAATTTACTATACTCACACTCTCTAGTATTTAAAGGGAATTATAAATCAAAATTCAGACATTTTTATTAATTAACTACCTTCTTTAAAAAATTGAAATGAATTTAGAAATTTATACTTATCTCTTTTCCTCATTGGATAAATTAACATATAAACAATATACAGACATACTTTCCCTTTATACTTTCCTTGTATACTTTATACTTATACTGAATGAATTAATACAAATAGGGATGAATGAATGAATACACAGGGATGAATAAATGATAGAAGGGGTCTCAGTTTAAATGAATGAATGTACTAATGACAGGCAAGGTCTATAATTAAACTAATGAATGAATGTACTAGTGACAGACAAGGTCTATAATTAAACTAATGAATGAATGTACTAATGAAAGAGAAGGTCTATAATTAAACTAATGAATGAATGTACTAATGAAAGAGAAGGTCTATAATTAAACTAATGAATGAATGTACTAATGAAAGAGAAGGTCTAAAATTAAACTAATGAATGAATGTCCTAATGACAAGCAAGGTATATAATTAAACTAATGAATGAATGTACTAATGACAGGCAAGGTCTATAATTAAACTAATGAATGAATGAATGAATGTACTAATGACGGACAAGGTCTATAAATAAACTAATAGAACTACTCTAGTAAATAAAGAAAGTATTCATACCATTTTGACTAGTTTTTGATGGACTAAGAGTTGGTTTGGCTGGTATAGCAGGTTTTTGAGCAATAGGGGGTTTAGTAGGTCGAGGAGGCCTGGGTCTTCCTCCACCAGGAGACGGTCTGAAATTAACAACAACATCACAATAAATAGATGGTTTTTAGTTAGACCCAATTTATCACTCAGTGGATGATGGAAAATGACTAGTTAGATCCAGTGTTTTAATTACAGTTTAAATAGAACGTAACAAACAGGAGAAGAGACTTTGATCATAGTTTTATTATTCTGACTTCCTCATATAGATAAAAACACTTTACTCTATACAGTTAAACCATACAATCTAGTCTACCATGCTGACCTGAGTACAGGTCAAACTTCATATTTCACTAGGTTAGTGTGTCATTTACTCCAGTCTATAATACAAACTTTAGATTCAACTTTCTAATTTTATTCCATAGTCAGCTTAAAAATACTAGGAGTGAATCCTGTTAGAAAATCAAAATTAAAAAAGAAAAATACATACTTAGGTGATATCTGTCTTTCCCCTCTTCCATTAGAATCACCAACTGTCAATTTTCCAGACTGATTTTTTTCTGGTGGACATTTCTTCACCGATACTGAAATATAGTTAAATAAAAGTAAATATTTTTACTTTAATTCAAACTATTTTAAAAATTAAAATATCTTTGAATGATATGAAAAATATGCCAATCAATCGGGGGATGAGAAAGGGGTGTAAGAGAGAACTAACTGTGGTCTGTATTATTAGTACAATTAAGGGTATCAGGTCACAAATTGAATATTTATAGTCTCTCTATACTAGACCAGGGGGCATTATCATACTGAGTTTATTTATAGTAACACTTTCAATATTTCCTGTTATTACTACACCACTTGCTACTCTCTACTGTACAACTTCATCTTCCTTAAACCTACCAACACAGCTACTATACACTGTACATTTTCTTCCTTATATTATATAACATTATACACCCTACCCTACACTATAGAACAATAATACTAATATTCATAAATAAAAAGAAGACAGATTTATACCAGTCCAGTAAGAAAGAATGAATAGACTGAATAGACTACAGTAGCTGCCATAAGGGTTAGCTGAAAATTGGGACAAACTTTTGCCACCAACAAGTATAATCAATTAATGAATCATATAGACATAAGATCTGTAACTGTAGTGTCATTATTTTCTTATTTAGTAAAATGCATATTTTGGAGTCAATTTTCAGTTTGTTTTCATTTGACACCCTATCTATACTATCAAAAGTTTGGCTATCTTACCATTTCCCAGGTTGTCCATGTTGGATTATTTCTCTCCTTCATGTCCTGATCATATTAAACTTTACATTCCCGATCAATTATTTCATACTGGATGACAAATTCATGACACTTGTGCAATTTTTTTTATCGAAACTTTTCAACTTGTTTATTATGGCTGTATTTCCGGTATATCACGTGACCTACTTCCAGTAATTTTCTGTCCCGATGATCGAGTCGAGTCGTTTCGTTATATCAAATGTAATGGGATGTTTCGTCCACTATTTCTGGATGATACGAACCATAGGCCTGATTTAAAAAGTGCTTAAATATATTTTTATTAGAAATATTGAAAAGCTTGATATAACTACAAATTGCTATAAAAATTTCCTAATATATATATTGTTTTTTGGACTTGTTAGACTAAAGTTAGGGCTATCCGACATCTCGTCAAGACATAATGAAAACGTGTTTGTAGATGTATATTTGCTGTGTAATGTTTAGGGATTGAATGACCAGGAATCTCCCAGGTATCAACCCAGTGTTTATATCACGCTAATAGTTTTATGACGATAGGACAAGCTATCTATAAACTATATTTGAATTTCTACATGAAATGACGAGACAAAGATCCTACTCGAGTTTAATTATTATAATAATATTTATTCATTGATCATATCGATAAAATACAACCTTCAATTTTTAAAACTGTTTTATAAGTTTAAAAAATCGTGTCAGATTGGTAGATAAAACTCTGATGTTAAACGGGGTGTGATTGGTAAATACCTGTCGGGCTTTCCGTGTCTCTGGATCATACGATGCGATATTCTTTCAAGAAGCCGTACCAGATAGATTTACAATCAAGAAATATACAAGATCCAAGCAAATACACCTCATTTAATACTTCAATTTCAAAAGTTTATGGTTCATTTCAGCCTGGAAGAACTTGAGCGGATTATGACAATAATCTTGCTGTTAAAGCAGATAGAAACTTTCCACTTTCCACATGGGATAGCTTCTTTAATGATAAATTCTAAACGATGGTAAAATGCTGGTGGGATGACGGATAACAGATTGTAATGATAACAGACAAATATATATATTTCATATAATACAGAGGAAACGGATTCATCCAAAATTAAAAAAAATGTATATGACGTCAGAATTTCTTTAAGAATTGTGTTAGGATAAAACCACAGACTCCAGAAAATATTATTTCAGTTGATTTTCATTGATTGGATATTGTAGATCGAAAATCTTAAACTTTGCAAAACTTGAGACTTCGGAAGAAAATCATTAAACAGAATTTGTAGTCGTCAGTTAGAATCAAACTTGAATTTCGTGGTTTAATCTGAAAGCTATCAACATGTTTCGAATGGAATTTGTAACGGCTGTGTTTCTAATGACAGGATTCATTCTGAACACTACAGCTGTTAATACAACAGAACAGATCTCTGATACGAAGTTTTACAGAAAATATTTTCACGACAGATTTTATAATAACCATTGTAAGTATTGTCTTATTTTAAATTTTAATGTAGGTTAAAAATGTAACAGAATAATTTCAGCCTCATTGATTTTTGAAAATTAATTTTTTTATCTATTTCAGATATAAATTATTATAGAAATTCAGCTGATAATGATAAAACAGATACAGTTACCCACAGTTACCAAGATAAAGTTTACTATATTAATAGTAAGTTTTTTAAAGAAGTAATGTTTATATTTTGAATCGTCCCCGGATGTACAAAATATCTTTTTGCTTGATAATTTTTATTCAAACAAAAGAAAAAAAAAACTAAAAAAAACCCAAAAATATAAACACATTTCTTTATATCCATTCGTCATTAGTTTTAGTCATAAGAAACTGTCGCTTTAAATTAGTATTTTCTTTTTACTTTCAGAATATAGTCAATATAATAAAAGATCGACAACTCCCTTCACGTTTTTCTTTCCAATCATCAGAAAATTTATTGAAGAAATAAAAGGTTTGTGTTTTAATAGTTTTAATATCATTGCCTAGAAATTTATAAGAAGAAAATGAATTGTTTACAATCGGAACTTTTCAAATCAAAATCAGGATCCAACCTTCAAGTTTGATGAATTTTATCAAGATGACACGGAAAAGGTGTGCGCAAGAGATTAATATATTGTTTTAGATTTCATACAGGCTTTTTTGAGTATATTATTGATTCTATTTTGGTTTGGTTATAAAATAAAACCTCTGATTATAATGATTTTCTTTTCAGCAAAGAATAAAATTGTTTCCAATTGGGGTAATTCGTTCCTGCTAACAGCTTTGTGTAATTATTACCTCAATGTGGGTATACAATCCAGTTTGTGTACCTAGCCCATACCCCCACAGAACCCTAGAATCAAACACTAACTTACAGTCTCTAGCTAGTTAATTAATGCGTCCAACGAGACAAAGAGTGGAATTAAGTGCTGAAATAACACGCTTGTTAATCTGTCATAAAGCTGCTTTTAGCAAAATGCAGCGTCTCGCGGGGAGAATGTATAAAGGGGACAGATTGGATCGTGTATCAAGGGTTAGTGTGCTAACTGTAGAAATAATTTCCGGAAGTGACGTGTAGCTTTGCAGAGTTTATAATATGAAATTAATGGAAATAAATGATGTGTTGCTAATTGTATAAATGATATTATGTTATCTCTATTTATTGTGCTGTTTCCCACTCAGCTTCGTGCCTTCAGGAACACACGCCTAGATGTAATAAAATAATATAGCCTTAATTTGGCATGGATTTGACAATTTTTATGGCCGGATAGTGGCTGTGTACAAAGGAAAGAATTGAATTATAAATTACAATATTATGACAAAAAACGATATTCTCTATATCTCTCATAGGCTCATAGTACATTTTTTCAATAGAATGTCACATCTTGAGATAAAGATTGTGCAATCAGGAACGTTAATATCAACAAAAAATTCAATATAATGGAATTTTTCTTGGTTAACTGTTTAAAATATTTTAAAATATGGCCAATTTTTTCCGATAGAAATATGAATGAAATTTTTGGTGCCAGTGAAGATCTGAGATGCCAATCTAACATATTTAGGTGTACAATGGGGAGAAATGCTCTTTATTCCTATAATTTCTCAAATATGGCCAGTGATGGATATCCAATATGGCGGACTGGCCAGTCAAAGACGAAGCCCCTACATGGCCAATATTTGCACGGTCCATAGTAATGGGGGTGGGGCAGATTTTTGGATGGAATTGGCACAAACTCAATCACATAGTGCCTTCCGACCTGTGAATATCTCCAAAATTCCGACATAATGGTATTTTCATGCCTAACTGTGTTACTGGCCAGTCAATGACGAAGCCTATACATGGCCAATTTTTTATAAATGGCCAATTTTTTCCGATGGTCTACTTAGGAATTATGAATAACATTTTTGGTGCCAGTGAGGTCTTGAGATGCCAATCTAACATATTTAGGTGTACAATGCGGAAAAATGGTGTTTATTCCTATTATTTCTAAAATATGGCCAGAAATGGATATCCATTGACTGGCCAGTCAAAGACGAAGCCCCTACATGGCCAATTTTTGCACAGTCCACAGTAATAGGGATTGGGCAGATTTTTGGATGGAATTGACACAAACTTAATCACATAGTGCCTTCAGACCCGTGAATATCGCTAAAATTCCAACATAATGGTATTTTCATGCCTAACTCTATTACTGGCCAGTCAATTTTTGAAATATGGCCAATTTTTCCTATGATAATAATAATAATCTTTATTTACATGTTTTTAAGGCACACTGTCAAGGTAAGTTTATAAACATTCAAATATTATAATTGTACAGTGCTCATGCCCATAGAACAATTTACATTCATTTTAATTTTATACAATTCAATTCATTTAATGATAATATATACAATTCAATACAATAAAATACTAATATATACAATTTAAATAGTTACAATTATAAATAATATAATTCAAATATATTGTTAATCAATCAAGGGGAGAGTATTTGTAGTCGAAGCGTTTAGGCAAAGTATATGTATTTTGATAAGTTCATTAGGGCCTCGGGTTTTTTTGTAGACATCAGGGAAATAAAAGTTTGTGTACATATGAAATTAATATACTGGCTTATATACAAATGTCTTAATTCGTTATATTTTGGACAAATCATGATAAAATGATATTCGTCTTCAACATAGCCATGGCGACAGACAGGACAAGTCCTATCGATATATGGAATTTAACTGTGAGGAAAGATTGGATTTTAAATTGTCAGAATATTTATTTTTAGCATCATCACATATACCCTAGAATTTGTTTTTGGCAGCTTTATGACTTTTAAGTTCCTCGCTACCCCTACATCGCCTATATTGGTTTAGAAGTTTATGCTATTTAATTTTAGCGTCTTCACACTCAAATGACCACCATGATGGTTTAGGTATTGCTTTTTCTAGTTTTCTACGGGTTGAAAGGGTAATTTTTGCAGTTGAATTTTGAACAGCACTTATCACCTTGTTGCATAGCAGATTAACGTCGACCCCAAGGAAAGATATATCTGATAATTCATTTTCCAATGAACGGAGGAAAGTATCTTTATGTTCATCATTCCATTTTATTTTGAATCGTTGAGTTAACTCAACCATTTCTCCAGTTGGTTCCTCGTTTAATGGGTTTTCAATTTTGATAACACACTGAATCGGGAAGTGATCTGAGTCGTCTATAGTCAATACACAAAAATCGACAATGAAAGGGAATAGTTCAGACGATGCCACAAAATAGTCCACGGTATACTTGATCCGTTGTTGGCGTGTCCAGTAAAACACCCATTTAGATCGCCAGGGAATCGTCCATTCACTATGTGTATACTGATTTTTTTGCAGAGAGTTATTAGTTGTCGACCGAAGTTGTTGACTCTGAAATCAGCATTGGTGCGTGGTAGATCAAATGTGGCAGTAGGTTAGATGTTTTCCGAAGATATATGGTCGAGACTGTCATTTACAATGACGGTCTTTTGGAAAACCAAAAAAAGACTTGTCTAGTAGAAGTATCACAGCATCCTCGGTCAAACTCAAGACTCGCAATGTACCTTTTATAAGACTTCGTTTGATAAATACAATAATTCCTCCATGTTGGGATTTCTTGCCTCATGATACAAATTGTTCGTGGTCACTTAAGAATAACTCAGTTGGGGCTTTATACAACCATGTCTCACTAATACCCACGATATCGTATATAGATAGTTCAGTTCAGTTCCCAGATTCTCAAAATGTCTGCCCAAACTTTGGCAGTTCCATGAGATAATTTTGATACTGTGTTCAGATTTGTCTTTAATGTTAGGAATATTTTTTATTGTTATTAGGGGGTTGATGTTCTCTGGATTGCTATTTGTCATTGTTATACAAAGTTTTAACTCCTTTGTTGTTTTGTCAATGATATAAGATTTACTTTCTATTATAAGTCTATCAAATTTTAGAGTGGCTTTCTTATTTTCTTTGATTGAATTGATCAGGTGTGGTGTAAGTTCTTTACGTTTGTTTCTAACAGATTTTGTGAAATCTTCTGAGACTTTTAACTCAGATGACCCTATGAACTTTCGCTTCGCTTCATGTAATATATTATCTCTGTCCTTAAGCCTATTGAAAACAACTAAAATAGGTCTAGTGTGATTACCGTTTTTCTTTCCGATTCGATAAATTCTGTCTATTTGCAACATTGAATCATTATCACTACCTATTAATCCCAGTTCACCACCTATCACCTCTCGTATTAACTTCTCACGATCTGAAGATCTCTCGGTTGTTGTTTCTTTCAATCCGTAAAATATTAAATTCTTTTGTCTATCTCTGTTTTGAACAGATTCTAAGGTTTCGCGAATTTCACTATTTTCTTCAGTTAATGTAGTAACATCTTGTTTTAGTTTGGAAACTTCTTCTTTTATATTAAGATCCCTAACTTCTGCTCTTATCTCGCAAATTTCTTGTTTCAGGGATTGGATACAGGACACTTAATCTGTCAACTCATTCCGTTCTGGATACACAATTTGGCCACTATTTGTCAATTGTCCTTGTCTAGTATTTGGGCCCGGGTTAGATTCCACATCACCACTTAGCAGTAGCATTACATTTACTATTAACATCACAGACAGTGTCAGATTTCCGAGTGATATTTTATGAGATTTAAATTAAATTTAATGCTATTTTATGAAAGTATTGTCCTATAATAATCCTCCAGGTGCCCAGATCAGTTCCCATACTGAATAAATCATTTACAAATATTGTAAAAAAACGTTTGGTTGAAGACAAAATGTTCTGATGATAAATACAATCCAAATTTCGTCACACTTGACTTCACTCTACTGCTACTTAGAACACGACCTGTCTCCTCAATAATCTAAAAAAAAAAAATAAAAAAAAAAAAAAATGATCTGCTATGGAATAATGAATGACATTTTTGGTGCCAGTGAGATACTGAGGTACCAATCTAACATATTTAGGTGTACAAGATGGGGAGAAATGCTCTTTATTCCTATAATTTCTCAAATATGGCCAGTGACGAATATCCAATATGGCGGACTGGCCAGTCAAAGACGAAGCCCCTACATGGCCAATTTTTGCACAGTCCACAGTAATGGGGGTGGGGCAGACTTTTGGATGGAATTGGCACAAACTCAATCACATGGTTCCTTCCGACCTGTGAATATCGCTAAAATTCCAATATAATGGTATTTTCATGTCTGTGTTACTGGCCAGTCAATGACGAAGCCTATATATGGTCAATTTTTGATAAATGGCCAATTTTTTCCGATGGTCTACTTAGGAATTATGAATGATATTTTTGGTGCCAGTGAGGTCATGAGATGCCAATTAGGTGTACAATAGTGACTGAGAAAACAGTTCAAGACGTGATTAAAAAAAGAAAAAAAAGAAAATGGATTTGACAATATAAGCCACACACTTTTAAAAAACACCATTGATACTATCACTATACCGTTGACGCTCATTTTTAATCTTTCATTAAAGGAGGGAATATTTCCTGACGTTTGGAAAAAAGCTTTGGTGATGCCAATGTTTAAGAAAGGTAAAAAGTCTTAGGTAACTAACTACAGACCAATTTCCTTGCTTAGTTCATTAAGTAAAATTTTTGAGAGAATTGTTTTTAATGATCTATATGATTATTTTAATACTAACAATTTATTTTATAAATACCAGTCTGGTTTTAGACCTTCGTATTCTCCTGTATTTCAACTAATTGAGGTAAATCACGATGTGGTGAAAGCGATTGATGAAAAACAATTTTCTTGCCACACTTTCTGAGACATTTCCAAAGCTTTCGACAAAGTTTATCTCCGAGGTCTGAGCTTTAAGTTAGAAAAATATGGCATTTGTGCAAATATATTGAGTTGGTTAAATAGTTATGTTCATGGTCGTCGACAAAGTGTTATTATAGAAAATTCGACATCCTCTGAAAAATATTTAATATCTGGAGTACCTCAAGGCTCGGTCTTGGGACCCTTTTTATTTTTGATTTACCTGAATGATGTTCAAGATACTCTTCAAAATCTCTCAAGATTATTTGCAGATGATACTGCTATTGGTTGCAACAAATCCTGCATTCCAGATATTGAACATTCTATCAATTCTGATTTAGCAAAATTGGGCCAGGGACTGGTTAGTTAAGTTTAATAATAATAATAACTTTATTTCATAGCATCTCGTTATGAGACATAGAAATTTTTTTTTAACAATACTTGGACAATAAGTACAAAAATATTTACAATATCATCGATCCATTTCATAGATTATGGTACATAATTTCTTAATAGTAAACTTACATATTATCAAATTTTTTAACAATAATATCAACAAATTTACATAATTTCCGGAGTTCTGAATCTTTGCATGTAAACAAATGCTGCATCTTTAGGGCAGCTGGAAACTTTCTATAATAAGCTTTAAAATACTTATTTTTCTCGAAGTTAAAGAATGGACATTTAAAGATACAATGGAATTAATCTCCTATTTCTGAATCAGAGCACAATGGGTAGATTCTTTCATTTCTAGGTATATTTATGAATATACCAGATTCTACTGGCAAGCGATAACTTCTGCAACGAAATCTACAATAGGAACGTCTGATTGAAGGGTATAAAGTTACTAAATAATTTTTCAAATTGAAAGTTTCACTTAAATATTCTATAATTAAGGCATTTTTTGCTATAACTAATCTTTTGAGACCATTCTTGGATATACTGGTCTTTAAGTCTCGATTCTAGTGAATACTTTAACCATTTTTTATCAATGCCACTTGCTTGGTTGTTCCAGACATATGATAAATCACTATCATTTAGAATTTGCTTGATGTAAGTAATCCACTATGAGTTTATATTAGAATGTAACATAATTTTATATAATTCTGATGACAGTTTCATGACTTGACTTGTTACTACATTATACCAAAAACATATCATTTTACATTTAATATGAATTAACAAAGGAAATATGCCCAATTCTCCGTAAACCATGCAATTTGGGGTTGACTGTTTCGTGCCGAGTAAGAGTTTACAAAAACGTAATTGTAGTCTCTCAATTGTGGCATCTTCGAGGCAACCCCAGATTTCACAGCCGTACAGTAAGATTGGAATGACCATACATTCAAACAAGTGCAATTGCGTGTCTATATCTAAATTAAGTTTTCTTCCTTTCTGTAAAAGATAGAACATGGCTTCTGAAGCTTTATTATATAATGCTAGTTTTGCTTTGTTGAAAAGACCATTATAATTAAACACTATACCTAAATATACATAATTATCGACAACTTCAATAACTTCTTCTCCATATTTGATAATAGGTTTGTTTCTGATTTTACCTTTTGAGAAAACCATTATTTTTGTTTTTGAGGTATTTATATTTAGCTCATAAGTTTTACAATATTCTAGCATGGCATCTACCCCGGCCTGCAATTCAGATTCTGATTCAGCTAAAACAATTGTATCATCTGCATAAAGTAATGCAAATATTTTCAGAAATACACCTACTTGCTCGAAATCATATTCTTTAAGAGTAATACCTGAATAACGATAGGACAAAAAAGATTCTAAATCTTTTAAATATATCGAAAACAATAGCGGGGATAAATTTTCTCCTTGTCTTACACCAATAGCACAATCAAACTCCTTTGAATACATTTTGTTCCAAACAATACTCCTTCGTGTCTGATCGTTTAAGGTGTTTAAGTTTGTCATTAAATTTTCTGTTGTAGATTGAATATTCTAACTTCAACTGTCTCTTGTATGATGCACTGGCTTCTTTAAGTTTGGTTTTGTTACAGTCAGAATGATCAGATTGGTATCTATTTTGAGCAGCAAAAAAATCATTTCTTTTATACTCACACTTTTCGTTGAACCAAGGCTTGTTTTCACAATGCCGTTTTTGAGACTTCGGCGTTCCGATTTTCACCTTTTTAGAAATGTTAATTGACTTTGCACTTGAACGAAACAGCTCTCCAATATTATGTCATTTCATCCATATCCGTTTGACTGGTACATTTCATAGTGTGGTTATTAAGTTCATCAATTATGGTGTCTAATTTATTTCTATCGATAGAATTAGAAAAATCCAGAGACTTATCTTGATCCCAGCTTATTCTGTTGAATTCTATAGCATTGGTTACGTTCTGCTGCTCTCTGCTTGAAAACGATTTTAGAGACATTGAAATTGGACTGTGTTTATCCGAGAGTACTGGGTTAAATTCACATACTGAGAAGTCCGATACGCACTTAAATACGTCTGAAGAACAAATCACATAATCAACGACTGAGCAGCCGGCACATGTAGTAGATCCAATGTTATTTCCCACACCACATCTTCCATTCACTATAAAGATTCCTAAGTTTATGCACAGTTCTATAAGACGTTCTCCATAAGTATTCACTGTTTTATCTTCATTTCGCCTGAACAGGGACAAGCCATAGGATTCAAGCCTTGAATTTGATTCAATCTTCTCTTTCATATATTCGTCTAATTATCTGTCATCAAAATCTTCGTTTATAAGAAAGTCATTTATTTCACCAGATCTAGCATTAAAGTCTCCCATTAGACAGAATTTAGTTTGACTAGTACAAATATAATTCTCCTCCAATGAATCAAACATTTGAGACGAACTATAGCTAGAATTACACGGAGGAATATAGGCAATACAGAATAGTAATTCTTGTCCAAAAGGACTATTTTCCAGTGAGAACCACAGCGAGAAGTCATCATCAGTTTTATATAATTTCAAATAGTCAAAAACATCCTCCTTAACAAGTAAAGCAACACCACCTGCACGCCTCTTACAACTCTTTCTAGATTTCAGTATTGCTCTGAAACCATCAATTTCAATTAAATCCAATGAGTTAGTTTTAGTTTCACTTAGACACACTAAATCATAATCGGCTATGTACTGTTCAAAGTCATTTGGCAATAATTTTGATTTTAATCCACAAATAATTAAAATAATTAAAGTGTTAAAACTTTTAAATTCTTTTCATAGGACGTATCTGTATATAGCTATAAAGTTAATTTTGTTCGATTTTGTGAAGATAGATCCATTTGAGTTCACTCTCAATTGTTTGTTATTTGGTAGGTGTTTAACAATCTCTCTTGAATTCTTTTCAATTAAGCGCTCTGTGAAACTTTTTGACCTTGAAATGAATACATTATAGTGACCTGTTTTTGACAATCTACGTTTATGCGATAATACATTGTTTCTATGCTCTATACTTTCAAGTGTGATTTTCACTATACCTGGTTTCGATTTCGAGTTAAACCGTTTCACATCTGTTATTTTAACTGACTCTAGTACATCGTCTCTCTAATTGTTCATGAACACTTTTCTCCACTACTGATATTCTGTCTTCTAATCGCCTCACATTGTTAACTACTTCACTAATTCGGACTCTCTCTGCTGAGATACCTATTGACAATTCGTCATATAATGTCACTTTTGAGTCTATAATACATAATAATTCATCTTTCAGATTGTCAATTTTATTTTCAATCTTTTCACAAATCTTTTCTTGGTTTACCTTCATTTCTGACATACTTCCGATAAGAATCTGCATTTGCTTTGATAAAAGTTCCATACTACTTTGCGAACATTTACCTTCTTCTAAATTATCAGCCACTTTGTGGTTCTTTGAATCTGGTTTAGGCGTTTCACCTTCACTCGTTCTTCTCCGTTTTAAAGTAATATCCTGGTTACCTTGCATTCCACAGGATAAAAAAGTCAATTATTTCTAATTTATTCACAAAAAGTGTACTTGTATATCCATAAACTTAAAAAAATATAGCGTCTAAGCTTTCACGGATCACTGATTCTCGGAGGATTTTAACACACGTCCTTACCATCCAACTATACTATACAATATAATCTATACTATAATCCTGATAAGACCAAAGTTGTCTTGTTTACTAATAAAGTCCACTTTGAAAATCCAAATATATATTTTGGTGGTAAAAAGCTAGAAATAGTAAACTATCATAAACACTTAGGAGTTTCCTTTTCTTCCGATGCCAAATGGTCGCTTCATATTGAAAATCTTTGTAAATCAGCATCAAAATTATTAAATATTTTAAGAAGTTTAAAGTATCAATTGACACGAAAAACGCTTCTAAATATATATAAAACTTATATTAGGTCAATACTTGAGTATTGTTGTGAGGTCTGGGATGGATGTAGTCAAAGTGATAGTGAAAAACTTGAGAAACTTCAACTTGAAGCCACACGAATTATTACGGTATTACCTAAGTATGCAAGTAGATAATCCTTATATTTTGAAACGGGATTACCCTTACTAAGTCTTCGACGGAAAAATAGGCGTCTTATATCATTTTTTTAAATCGTAAATGGCTCGGCACCAGATTATTTATCAGATATTTTAAATGAAATTAATTCTACTGATAAACATTATATAAACGACATTCAAACACCCTCTTCGAGAATTAATATAGCTCTCAATTCGTTCTTTTCAATTACTATTCGTGACTGGAATAATCTTGATGAAAACATAAAATCGACTGATAATTTGAACTCACTTAAATATAACTTGAAAAAGAGACCAGTTGATAATGCCCCGAGCTTTTTCTACAATGGACCAAGACGTGAAAATATTCTTATAACCAAGATTCGTCATGGATGTAGTGCGCTAAAATCTGATCTAGTCAATTTTATCATAGTTGATGATGCAACATGTTCTTGCGGTCTATCAATAGAAGATGCTAATCATTTCTTTTTTCATTGTCCTTTGTATTCTGAACAACGGCAAAAATTATTCGATGATCTCATTGATCCTAGAATTTTTAGTTTAAATATTTTATTATGGGGTGATCCTCGTGGTAATTATGAATTGAACTCCAAAATTCTTAATCATGCAATGCAATACATAAAACAATCACATAGGTTTGTATAAGGCCAATGTCTTCTTTTACTTCGATAATTGACTGATGCGTTGTTCCTGGTTGATGTATCGTTCTTAAAGGCAGTTACATTGTATATATGTTACCTTTCTCGATTCCTGTTAAATATGTTATGTGTCACTAAATTGAAATTATTGTAATGTAATCTTCCATAACATGAAATTATTATCTGGAGAGGATTTTTCCCAACTTGCATCCCATCCATTTGTATGATCAATAAAATGTGTTAAATCAATCAAAAAATGGAGAGAAATGCTCTTTATTCCTATAATTTCTCAAATATGGCCATTGTACACCTAAATATGTTAGATTGGCATCTCGGGACCTCCCTGGCACCAAAAATTCCATTCATAATTCCATAGCAGATCATAGGAAAAAATTTGCCATATTTCAAAAATTGGCCATGTAGGGGCTTCGTCATTGACTGGCCAGTGACAGAGTTATGCATGAAAATACCATTATGTTGGAATTTTGAAGATATTCACATGTCTGAAGGCAATATGTGATTGAGTTTGTGCCAATTCCATCCAAAAAATCTGCCCCTACCCCATTACTGTGGACCGTGCAAAAATTGGATATGTAGGGGCTTCTTCTTTGACTGGCCAGTCCGCCATATTGGATATTCGTCACTGGCCATATTTGCGAAATTATAGGAATAAAGAGCATTTCTCCCCATTGTACACCTAAGTATGTTAGATTGGCATCTCAGGACCTAACTGGCACCAAAAATTATATGCATAATTCCGAAGTAGAACATCGGAAAAAATTGGCCATTTATCAAAAATTGGCCATGTATAGGCTTCGTCATTGACTGGCCAGTAACACAGTTAGGCATGAAAATACCATTATATTGGAATTTTAGCTATATTCACATGTCGGAAGGCACCATTTGATTGAGTTCGTGCCAATTCCATCCAAAAGTCTGCCCCATCCCCATTACTGTGGTCTGTGCAAAAATTGGCCATGTAGGGGCTTCGTCTTTGACTGGCCAGTCCGCTATATTGGATATTCTTCACTGGCCATATTTGAGAAATTATAGGAATAAAGAGCATTTCTCCCCATTGTACACCTAAATATGTTAGATTGGCATCTCAGGACCTCACTTGCACCAAAAATGTCATAATTCCATAGCAGACCATAGGAAAAAATTTGCCATTTTATATTATCCATATTGGCTATCCGTCACTGGCCAAAGAAATTTTGATAACTATGTAATGATTCTATTCATTACACGACATTTTAGAGGCTTTATTTGAATAAGAAATGAATTACAAATTTTCGTTTTTTGATTTAATTACAACAATTACAATCAATCCAAAAAATTAGTGTATCCATCGGCCACAAAAATTGGCCGGAGTTTCTCGACTCTTTTGAAATGACTATTGCTATATAAATCACATCTCTCACCAGAGCCGTATACGGCTCTGTCTCTCACTAGAGAATTTAACTGTCGTCTGAATTCTACTTTCAGTTTATTATAGTCTTGATTGTCCAACAATGACAAGAAAATGACTAGAATAATCAAAACTAGGTTTGTTTACGTGTCTATTTTTAACCAATGAAATTCTACTGATGTCTCTGTCTGCGTTACTACAACAATGGCGCTGTCCAGGCAGAGTCGAACAAGTCTCTCCTGTTTTCTCTTTTCGGCTGCTGTAGCGTGTCTCTTTCTTTTCGGTCATATCAGCAAATCAACACACTATTTGTGGGAAAACTTCCCACCAGTTCTATCCTTAGTTTACGTTGTTATTTCTCACATAGTTATTTATTTTCTTTATAGAGACGCGCCAAACTTATACAAGGTAAGTTGTCTGAATTGTTTTTGGTTTGGACGGTGGTCGAGTGACCGAGGCGGTTTAAACTGGTTTAAATCTGGTCAGATAAATCTGGTTCTAACTAGTTTAAATGTTAAAATCTGGTTTAAACCAGTGAGTTTTGTTTATCTAAATCTGGTCGAAACTAGATAAGTCTGTTTTTGTCTTTAAAAATTGACTGAGTTTTTTCACCTGAATCTGAGACTCCAGCTGTCACGTGATTGAGAGGTAGGTAGGTAGATGACAAGTTAACGTTCGCTTGGATTGGATCAAATTGGATGATTCTGTGTTGTTGGTTTGGTTGTTGATTCTTCGTTAGACCTGGTCGGGTCGAATGACATGGCGGTGAAACTCGGAACTGGATGGTGTGGCATGAGTTACTCGGTCTCCTTCATTCTTCCAAACTCGTTCTGATCATGGTATTTTTTGTTGATTGGTAGTCGAATGGTTTGGTTAGATTATCTGTTATCTGTTGGAAAACTAGAAGACCTGAATAAAAAAAAAAAGGAAGTGGGAAGAGGGAGGGGGAGGGGGAAGCTTTCAACAAAAGGGGGAAGGATGTTCTCTGATGCAATGAAACTTGTTAAATTAATTGGATATAATTAAAAAGTGTTAAGAAACTTTGAGTATAAAAACTTAGCCTATCTGTTCAAGACAGATTTGGTTATAAAATGGAAGACTAGTTCCATTATCGTATACTAGTGGTCCGTGGGTGGAGCCAAAACATTCTGTATGGTGAGTGGTATGCCGTTGGTTTCCAGGTACTCTAGCAGTGCCTTACAAGCGGGTTTCAGTTCAATGCATTGAATAAGGACATGCGACCTTGTGGCAACGTGGCCGTAGCGACATTTGATGGCATTGAACTGATGGTCTCGTAGTACGTTGTTGGTCCGGAGTCTGGTTGCCACTTTGCAGATGGCTACAGATGGATGGTTTGGTTTGGTATCTTCGGATCAATCTGGTATCTTGCGGTGTCGAGGTTCCGTAACATGTCGGCCCATTTCTGGTTGATCCTAGAAGATACGATACTGCAGAATTCCGAATAGGAGTATTCTACAGGCTTGATATCCTCCAGACTCAGACTTTCCTTGGCACAATGGTCTGCTTGATCATTGCCAGGAATGGAGACGTGTGATGGAACCCATACTAATTCAATCTTCTGGTCGTTGTTGGTTTGGTAGTTGTGGATCATTCTTATTTCTGAAATAACTTCTGACCTGCAATTAGAAGTGGTGAGAAAAATAGATTGGAGGCTGCTTAGCGAGTTGGGTAGAATCGTGGCATGCTCCGTGTGATTGACGGACAGCCATACTACTGCGTCCCTAATGGCAAGAAGTTCTGCTGTGAACACTGACCCGTCTTCATTAGCCCACATGGTGCAGAAAAGTAGGACGTAAAACTCCATTCCTTTCCTTTGTGAACACTGAACAGTGCGGGAAATCCTTTTACTAGTGCGGATGCGTGATTGAGAAACTCTTCATGAAATAAATCCCACTTACTAGAAAAATTAGCCAATGCTGATCGGATGAAAAACTGGTGTAGTTCATAAGAATTGTTTAAGGGTTCGACTTGGTTTAGATACTTGCTGCAATTCTTATTAGAAACAAACCCAGCCTTTCATCCAATCAGAAAGGGAAAATTATTGAACAAGTATTCCTCAGTCATGTGACATAATGACTGACAGCTAGCATTAGATTAAGTTCTTCACTCCCCTCTGCCATGATTTAATCATATGATTTCTAATATTTTAATATTATTAATATATTACAGATTGGCGTGCGAGCTGGATTATTAGGAAATGCTTTTGGTATAGGTCTATTAATCAGCTTCTCCAATACAACATGGACACATTTTGGCTGGTATCTAACAGCTTTAAGCTTCTTTCATTGGTCAGAATATTACACTACGTCAGTGACGAACTCAAGATCTTTAACTTTAGAGTCATATTTACTAGACCACAGTCGTGAATATAAAATAGCTGCCGTGGCTAGTTGGACAGAATTCACGCTGGAATGGTTGGTATTTCCTGGTATGTATATTAACATCTACCTAACTTTGATATTACTGTTTATAAATTTATATATAGATATATAATAGGTCAGCAGCTGATTTTCAAGAACAGGATATATATTGGTAGTGCCTGTATTATGGTTTCAAACATGAACAAGTTTTAATGACAAAGATTGATTCTCGAATGCATAATATATATATATTTTTACTTATTACAGGGTTAAAACAGTTTAAATGGTTGAGTATACTAGGGTTAATATTAGTAATAGGAGGAGAGGTTTTACGTAAAACTAGTATGATAACAGCTAGAAGTAATTTTAATCATTATGTTCAACATATCAAACAACACGATCATCAGCTAGTCACGCATGGTGTTTACCAATATTTTAGACATCCTTCGTATGTTGGTTGGTTTTATTGGAGTATTGGCACACAGGTCAGTTCTATATTTAGCTTTTTATCAATGTGGAGGGTAGGTCTAATACATGTATTAAACAACCAGGTTTCCATCTTGTCATTGATGCATGTTGGAGGGGCTAAAAAGAAAAGTCCTCTGTGTTTAATACACGAAGGCCGTATCTTCTACAGCCCCGGTTCCTAACCTTCTACAGGCCTAGTTCCCAACCTTCTACAGGCTGTGCATGTACATAACCCCTGACCCCTAAAAACAAGTATACTAAGGATGCTTCTTCAGCAACATTTCCCTCATAGCACACTGCAAGGTAAACAGATTTTCATTTAGCCTATCAAGAACAGAATATTTGGATGTAAACTATAATTAATGTCCAACAAACCAGCAGTAAATGAATACAGTTTGTTGAGAATTATCAGAAGTTTGTATGATTGTAAGCCTGTATTTATCAAAGAAAATAATAGACTTATATTTATTTTTTAGATAATTCTGTGTAATCCGATATGTCTAGTAGGTTATACCATCGTTTCCTGGAGATTTTTTAGACAGAGGATCCACGAGGAAGAAATCTCATTGTTAAATTTTTTTGGAGAACATTATGTAGACTATCAGAAAGAAACAGGAACTGGTTTACCATTTATTAAAGGTTATATAGGACGATATTAAATTCTGTGCCTTTTTAATCTATATATGCTCAAAGAAGAATATCTTTAGTGGAATTGTTTAAATAGTTTCTGTTTCAACATTTATGTACATATGATCTAATTAGTAGAAATGGCAGCAAAGTATTTTCAACCAATAGTGATTCAGGAATAATTTCTATTCCTAGAGATTTTGATATTTAAAGCTTTAATTATTTGATCTACTTATTAGGTAATAATTTGAATAATAGTATAATACTTATTAGGTTTATCATTTTTTATTATGATAAACACAGGTTCAGTCTTTATATTCAGGAGATATCTATGACATATTGAACTAGTCAAATAGTTATAGAAAACACACATATATATAAAGTTGTTAATATTTTAGTTTATATTCTGTAATATTGGTAATCAATGGTTTTAGATGATATTGTATGTTTATCACCGTGTGTGCCTGTTTTTATCATTCCTTCATAGTTTATCTCATAACAATAAAAATATTTCACCATTGGTATTTCATTATTGATCAGGGTTCTTGATTTACCAGTCATGTATAGTTAGAGTAACCAACATTGGGCTTTAGATGACTTGTCCTTCAGACATATTTTACTTGTTATATTCACAATAAAATCAGCAAGTTTTTAAAACTCTGTCTAAATGATAGTTTAAATACACAAACATCAGTTTTATAGTATAGTATAGGCACTATTTATTAAAAATAAACTATAATAATATTTCATCTTCAAACTCATTAATACAATAACTTAATAAACATAAAAACAATTAAACAGGTGTTGCTAACTCGGAAATTTAAGTTTCATGATCAGTAATTTCAATAATCTCAAGTATTTCCCCTAGAGTTTTAACCAATCATCATACAGATCACTTGGCTAAATTGTTTACTAACTTGCAATGGAAGAAAAAATCTATCTTTAAATTTCAAACCATCATGACAACTGCCACACTGGCTACTATTTGACTAGAAAAGATCATTAACTATATATTTTTGCATTTTTCCATCTTATAAATCGTTGTTTAATTTTAATTGTGTTATACAACTTTCTACATGATATATAATAACACACCTCTCTCTCACACACAAACACTACAATATAATCACACACACACTACAATATAAACACACACTGATATATTATATATTCATTCTCTTAACATATTAATATAATAAACACTGTATAACATATATAGTAACATGAAATACAGCTTTAGATAACCTCTCTCCATACAGCTTAGTATACCAATAATGGACAGATTTACATTTGATTTGACAAAGATAATATGACCAAGATAGAACAAAAAGTTTTTCTAACCTTTAAGAAAGTAAAATACTGTGCAAGTATGTCATAGATCTAACATATTTAGATTGAAGACAGTACTCGAGTTAAGACATATCAACATTCAGTTTGACCTTTGACTAATAGTAATCTATTTGATATATTCAACCAATCTAATAGCCTGTTTACTGACATTATCAGTTGAATGTCGAGTTAAATTCTGTATTCTCATCTTCAACTCTGCTGACTCATTCTCACCAAATAACGTCATATAGATAGTACCAGCATTGGCAGGATTATCAAGCGCTGGAAGTTGTTCTTCAGTTATCTTTCCTTCCTTGATACAGGAGACTAGATTAACCATTAAAGTGACAACTCGTAGTAAGAGAATAGAATCTGTTTGTGGTTCCAAACATTTCAACAACAATCTGGGTGTCTGTAGATTAGAAAGAATACCAAAATATACCAATACATTACAACTATCATTTCAATGCCTAGAAAACAAATAGAAACATGCTAAAACTGGTGACATGAATGGATCACCACACTCCACTGTAAATAAAAAAAAGATAAATTTGACAATGTATACTGATAGAACATAGTTGGTAACAATAGGACTATTTAATTTATAACAATATACCCCTAGAAGAAACAATGTCATGTTATATTTACCTTGGATTCTAGTAAAGCTGGGATGATTTCAGGGTTGCAGGATAAATTCACTAGAACTTTAACAGCTTGTAGGCGAATACTGGAGTTTATACCATCCATCATGCTGTAGAGACGAGGAATGGCTACCATATATTGATCATGATAAGACGGCGTAGTGGAGAGATTAGTTAGAGATTTTAACGACATCAACTGAACATCTTCTGGACTTCTCTCATACGTTATTAAATCTATCAGAACTGGTATACACACCTAGATAATACAGAATATTGAAGTTACCATATATTTCACAAGAAATCGCATCTTAACTCTGAATTCACTTCAGCTTAGTTTAGTCAACACTGTAAAGTATGATGGAAGATTCAGCAATCATTTATAGCTACATATATAGATAGATTACCTCTAATCTGGCCTGGTTCTGTATATCCATACACAGGTTAATGATAGCATTATTTAGAGACCCCAGGAGTTTCTGAGATGTCTCTGAACCAGTTCTGGCTGCCACGGCATGGATCTGCAATAATATCGTCAATTCTTGAATACATCCACTCTCTCGTAATAAACTCTGAAAATATAAAACAATCTGATTTAAACCAAACCACAAGCCTTATTTTACAGTTATTTTATCTTCTCTCTAATTCTATCGGCTAGAATACAGTTGGTGATTGTCTAAATAAATATTGGAACTGACCTGATTTTGAGAGTAAGCCCCACAGCGTACGATACAGTCTAACGAGGCTTGAAGTAAGGGGATGTCTTTCTGTCTCAGTAACATAACTAACGTATCAAGAGTTTCTTTATCAATACTGCCAGGGTTGCTATTAGCTAGTTGTATAGCCTGGGTAATTCTCTCTACATCCAGTCCAGGTTTAGAGGCAGCTTGTGGTGGGGCTTCGATTCCATTCTCATCAGTTTTTACTGGAGATTCTGTACTGTTTTCTGTGGAAGAAGTTTTATTTATAGTAGTGACAGTTTGTTGAGAAACAGGAGGAGAATTCAGTATGATGCTGGCTTCACTCTTGATAGAAACTTCCTGTGAATTGTGTGCATTATATACTTGTCTGTCGGATTCCTGGATGAGTTGTTGTTGTTCTACTGTTGAAGGTTGCGGTGGGACTGGTTGTACAGCAGCTACAGGAGTTGCAGTTGATTCTTTTTTCTTCTCTACTACAGGACTTACTATCTACAGATTATAAATTAACAAAATTCAATATCAATTATTTTGGTATGTGGTAAATGTTTGACATAGTATTATATTTTTTATACCTAGAATAAAAGTGACAATATTGTTCTAATAAACCAATATTATTACCTCTTCCTTTGGTTGTTCAGCTGATAATTCTGTTTTTTTAACTGGTTCTGTATTCTGTATTTCCTGATCTTTCTTATTTATAGTAACAGTTTCACCTCCAGCCTTGATATCATCCTGATGGTGAGTTAATTCTGGTTTGGATACTGCAGGGCTTCCTTCAGACAACGATGGCTTCACGACACCTTGTGCCTTACTCTGAATCTTCTGTGGAATTTTTGATTCTGGTTTTGGTTTAGTCTGACCCAGTTCTGGTTTTTTCTCCGGAACATCCTGTTTATCAGCAGTTTGAGTCTGGGGTATCTTTACTGGCGATTTTTCTTTAGTTTTAGTGCCTTGTTTTTTATCACCATCTGGAATATCATTATAGATTAGTTTTCATATTTCTACTCTAATCATTGTCAGTTGACAATCATAGCAGGAATTTTATAATACACGGGGATCTTGTTGAAATTTCCTTGTTCTCTATTTAATATATGTAATTGGTATCAATAATATGACTTTGCTCTTTGACATTGTCATTTTATTTAAATGTTTCCTTATTGTTATATCTATCTGTGGTTTTAGAACTTACAGTTCATATTTTACTCTGTAGGTTATTCTATACACTATAGACTCATTGATAACAATTTTATAAAGAACAATCCTCTTCCCTCCCCTACTCTACTTCCTTGATAGCTTTGCCCTGGGGTTTGGAAACCTCAAGATAAACTCAAGACAACTGGAATAGAGGCGAGCCTGGAAAAGCAACTTCAGTCTTCTGTTGAAAATTGTTAGGTCTAGCCTGGGTCTGGGGCTAAAAAATCAATCTCTACCCATACCTTGTAATTTTGATCTTTTAGTATATAAATAATAAATCACAACCAAACCAACCACCGCAGTGCCAGCTAAAACAACTTTGGTAATGTCCTTGGAAGCCATTTCGTCTTTCCCTGGCACGTGAGTTCTGAATCACTGCTGAATGCCAAAATTTCGTCTGCTATTTTGATGCCAACCAATCCTTTTCCAGTTCCCCGGGAAAAATAGTTTTGATATTAAAATAACAAACGGAATTCAATTGAATTGTTTTTGATGGATAGAAGATTAAAAACTGAAGAGTAAAATATGAAACAAAATAATTTTCAATGAGAAATTTCATCAAACTTTTCCAAGTTTTCAGCGCGGAATAGAAATTGTCTGGTCTGGTTGATCGAGAAATATTATTGAGGAACTTAAAGCCACATTATCAAAAATTAATCTTCAGAAAAAACATTGCGGTTACTTTATATTAAAAAACAAACAAATTATTCTATTTTAAACCTCTCTTAAAAATTACCAAAATCGAAAGAAGTCAAATTAATCTTTAAACTTTGAATCTATGAAACGTGATCAACAAAAAACCTGAATACTGTCATTTTAAATGTGAAGGTCAAACAAGAGTTATCTGACCTTGAAAACATGCAACTTCCGGTCATGGCGGTTCGTGTAGTTTGTTGAACATGTTTTCTTAAAAAATGCCTTAAAACTTTCCCCTTTACACCAAATATTTAAAAAAAAAAAATACCGATAACTAAAATCCAATTACTACCTTTTTACCGTAGTTGACTGTCACAGCTGGTGTGTCGTTTTTACACAGGAATTAAATTATTTAGTCTATCCCTTCAAAGCTACCACTACCATAACTATCAGAACCAGCCACCATGCCTTTTATGAAAGGATCTGGTGCCATTAGGCGAACATTAAATTACCTGCGAGGTGGAAGAATTCATTTTAAAGACAATGTTCAAATTGTGACACTCAACTATAATGTTCCAAGTAAAACCAGCAAGGGAATATCGTAAGGGCTTTTTACAGATATGTTACATTTTAGGGGCTTACAGTGGTTTTCCCCCTTTACAAGTTCTTCCCATAATGGTTTCCCCCCTTTACAATTTCCACCCTAGTGGTTTCCCCCCAGTGGTTTCCTCCCCTATATATGTATATGTAAGCTGAGGGTATGTAAAGAAGGAGAATTAGATTTAATAACATATTTTTTTTCATTTTAGATACAGAAACCTGTAGTTACATTTTCCCTTATTGCAGGGCGTTCGTAAGCGAACGCCCTGCTTTGTTTTCGAATTGATTTTTTTTTTTTTTTTTTTCGTCCACGGCAGGCCGGTTTTCTCAGCAACGGCAATAGGTACGGGAAAACGGACTTTATGGCGTTTTGTTACTCGTGGCTGATCACAGTTTAAATGTAAAACGAAAACTTTCTGAGCAACATTACGCAACGTTGCAACAAACGGAAAATGGACTCTAGAGGGCGTGTTTATCAACCGATTTTGATCGGGTTTTCTGCATCGTATTTCTTGTACGGACAAATGATAGCAGTTCAAAATTTTCGATTTTCGAAAATTCGTTGCATACTTTTTTTGCCGAAATTAATCGAAAAATACAATTTCGGTTGTTATCGGACGGATTGACTTGAAACTTACGTGGTGTAGACCGCCAGCATACAGACATAAAAGTACACATTCAAATTTTTTTTATCACTTCCGGTTTCGATGTTAGTACTTCCGGTGGTATCACTTCCGGTGGAATTGAGTTATGTCAAAAATAACATATGCATTATATTACCAGTCTTAATACAAACTTATTAAACTAAAAAAATCCGCACCGAAAGTAACATGTTGGCCGCCATTTTGGTTTGCCTCATTTGCAGAAATTGCTATTCAGAGACCATTTTTCATCTGATTTGCGTACCTTTTGTGTCAAACGATACGTTTTAAGTCCGTCTACAATCCTTAGGCAGCATAATTTTGATTTTCGGTTTTGCCTTTTTTGTACAACCGGATGTTTTTTTTCAAAGTTTGAACGCGTATATCTCATGACCTTGACCTTTGATGACCTTCATATGTACTACGATGATAATATGTGACCTTGTCTATCTGATGACCTTTTGACCTTTGGGGTCAGACAACCCTTTCCGATTTTACAGGGGTCTAAAAATGGACCATTTTGAGTCTTTACAGTGCTATATCTGGGTCCCTAATAGAGATATGGCGATAATTCTTTCGATTTTGTAATGTAGAGATTCTGAGCTTTCCAGTGATATAAAACATGCATGCCTTACATGCAAATTCAAAACCCCATTCACTTAACATGGGACTATTATTAGATAAATCGGCTAATTAGAGTAACCTGGCTGTCAACCCCAATATAAATCAAAGTTTAAGTAGTTTTAAAGACACCCTCCCTTTTATATTTCTTTAAAATGTTTAGCGTCCATTTAAGCTATATAAATAGGTTCTAGGATGGATTGAACCTTGTTATACTGTAAGTAAAGCTTGTAGAAGCACATTAAAGGGATACCCCCACTTAATTTCCCAACTTTCTTATTTTTTATCCAAATTTCACCAAACTTGGTATGTATGTGTATAATCCAATTCTATATTTGATGGATATATCCAATTTGCGTACTGCGCATGCGCATTGCCAACATTCTTATTTCTTATCCGAATTTCATCAAACTTGGTATGCATGTGTATAATCGAAATCTAAATTTGATGGATATAACGAATTTGCGTAGTGCGCATGCGCATTGCCAACTTTATTATTTATTAACCGATTTTCATCAAACTTGGAATGTATGTGTATAACCCAATTCTAAATTTGATGGAAATATTAATTTTTGTTGTGCGCATGCGCATTACCAACTTTCTTATTTCTTGTCCGAATTTCATCAAAATTGGTACGTATGTGTATAATCCAATTCTAGATTTGATGGAAATATTAATTTTTGTTGTGCGCATGCGCATTACCAACTTCCTTATTTCTTATCCGAATTTCAGCAAACTTGGTATGTATGTGTACAATCTAATGCTAAATTTGATGGAAATATTGAATTTTTGTTGTGCGCATACGCATTACAAACTTTCTTACTTCTTATCCGAATTTAATCAAACTTGGTAGGTATGTGTTTAAACCAATTATAAATTCAATGGAAATAACCTATTTTTGTTGTGTGCATGGGCATTACCAATTTTCTTATTTCTTATCCGGATTTCATGAAACTTGGTCTTTATTAATTGACAAACATTCTTTTATTCCTAGTCAATATACTTTAAACTCCAGGCACTTTTGGATATTTGCATTTAGAGATGCAGAAAAGTATTTACATCAATGTAATTGCAATAGACTATCTTCGTATGTCGTAACCCGCCCTGCATCAGTACTGTTATTAGAACAGTTCTAGTTTTTTTTGCAGGGCGTTCGCTTCGCTTTGTTTTCGTATTGATTTTTTTTTTTTTTTTTTTTGTCCAGCGCAGGCCGGTTTTCTCGGAAACAGCAACAGGTACAGGAAAACGGACTTCGTGGCGTTTCGTAACTCGTGGCTAATCCCAGCTTGAATGTAAAACGAATTTTGGTTTGCCTCATTTTGCAGAAATTGCTATTCAGAGGCCATTTTTCATCTGAGTTGCGTAATTTTTGTGTCATACGATACGTTTAATGTCCATCTACAATCCTTAGGAAGCATAATTTTGATTTTCGGTTTTGCCTTTTTTGTACAACCTGATGTTTTTTTCCAAAGTTTGAAGGCCTATAACTCATGACCTTGATCTTTGATGACCTTTATATTGACCATGGTGATAAAGGCTGTCCTTGACCTTCTCATGACCTTTTGACCTTTGGGGTCAAACAACAAATTCTGATTTTATAGGGGTCTAAATATGGTCAATTTGGCATTTTTGCAGTGCTGTATCTCAAACCCTAATTGATTTAGCGACATACTACTTTCAGATTATTAATGGATTTAATTTATATGGCATTTGATCGTGTCAAAGTCACATTAAAGGAAATGTTGCAATTTCCTTCAAACTTTTAACGCGTCTATCAAAGGAACTTGGCCTCGGATGACGTTGATATTTACATTAAAAATTACTATTGACTTCAGCTTTTACATGATTTTTTTTTATGTCTGACACGTGGTTCCGGTTGTATGTGTGTCACTGAAAGTTGAGTCTGCATCTTTAAAGTGTCCTAACATGTGCCCTATTAGAAGTAGAGAAATAATTCTGTCGGATTCAAAATGCTGAGATCTTGAGCTTTCCAGTGATATATAACATGTATGCTTACATGCAAATTCGAAAACCCATTCACTTAACATGGGACTATTATTAGATAAATCGGCTAATTAGATTAACCCGGCTATCAACCCCAATATAAATCAAAGTTTAAGTAGTTTTAAAGACACCCTCCCTTCTATATTTCTTTAAAATGTTTTGTGTCCAGTTAAGGTATATAAATAATCTCTAGGATGGATTGAACCGTGTTATACTGTAAGTTGGGCTTATGAAAGCACATTAAAGGCATACCCCCACTTAATTTTCCAACTTTTTTATTTCTTACCCGATTTTCACCAAACCTGGTATGTATGTGTATAATCCAATTCTAAATTTGATGGATATATCGAATTTGCGTAGTGCGCATGCGCATTGCCAACTTTCTTATTTATTATCCGATTTACATCAAACTTGGAATGTATGTGTATAACCCAATTCTAAATTTGATGGAAATATTAATTTTTGTTGTGCGCATGCGCATTACCAACTTTCTTATTTCTTATCCGAATTTCACCACACTTGGTATATATGTGTACAATCCAATTCTAAATTTGATGGATATATTGAATTTTTGTTGTGCGCATGCGCATTACAAACTTTCTTACTTCTTATCCGAATTTAATCAAACTTGCTAGGTATGTGTATAATCCAATTACAAATTCAATGGAAATAACCAATTTTTGTTGTGTGCATGCGCATTACCAATTTTCTTATTTCTTATCCGGATTTCATGAAACTTAGTCTTTATCAATTGACAAATATTCTTTTATTCCTAGTCAATACACATTAAACTCTATGCACTTTTGGATTTTTGAATTTAGAGATGCAGAAAAGTATTTACATCAATGTAATTGCAATAGACTATCTTTGTATGTACCTGAATGTCGTAACATGCCCTGCATCAGTAATGTTATTAAAACAGTTCTAGTTCAAATTATTTTTTTTTTATATTTTTCAGTAATTATATGTGTTGTATACACGATTGCCTGAAACAAATAAAGAGTTAATTTTTTTAGGCAACCATTATTGGTTTGGTCTTATAATGTTCAATTTCAACTGGATATTAACTTGTGTATTGGATTATTAAAAAAAAAAATTAATTGTTATGTGTCTCATATGCCTTTCATTCTTTATATAAGCTTATTTATATTTTAATGATTTGTGACATTAAATAAAATTACTTATATTACTATTATTCATGGTCTTACAAGAATATTGTAATTTCAACACAATTCAGCAATGTTGAACAAGTCAAATTTGAATAGAGTTAGATAAAATGTTATATCTATCGAAGAATAACAATGCAATTTATTCCAGTGGCTTCCTGATATTATGTTAATCCATCACAATAATTGATAAAGATTAACAGGTTTTTAATTAGTTTATTATAAGTTAATTAGGGGAGGAAACCACTTAGAATGGGGGAGGAAACCACTAGGATTGAAAAGAGGTGGAAACCACTGGGGGGAAACCACTAGGGAGGAACTTGTAAAGGGAGGAAACCACTACATGCCCTTTTAGGAGATCACTCTGTATCTTGACCAGTGCTTTCATTGAGATTCGTTTTATTCATTACACTATAAAGACTCAATATGGACCTCAATCTAGACTAGAAACATTGTACTGAATCAGATTATCATATCTTACAATGAGACAGATTATCATGTCTTACAATGAGACAGATTATCATGTCTTACAATGAGACAGATTATCATGTCTTACAATGAGTCACATTATCATGTCTTACAATGAGACAGATTTTCATGTCTTACAATGAGACAGATTACAATGAGACAGATTATCATGTCTTACAATGAGACAGATTATCATGTCTTACAATGAGACAAATTATCATGTCTTGTAATGAAACAGATTATCATGTCTTACAATGAGACAGATTTTCATGTCTTACAATGAGACAGATTTTCATGTCTTACTATGAGTCATATTATGGCTGACAAGTCTGTCTTGTTTGATTTATATATTGTAAGCCAGAAATAAAATGAATGTTAATATTAGAGTGGTTTGAATTATTTCAGAGAGTTTGTCTACTGGCACCTTTCTCAACTTCAGTTTACACATCCATATGTTCAGATTGTTACTTTTAAAAATATGACACCAACACCTTTTATCACTCTATATTTTGGTAAGTTTTTATCACTCTTTATTTTGGTAAGTTTTTATCACTCTATATTTTGGTAGGTGTTTATCACTCTATATTTTGGTAAGTTTTTATCACTATATTTTGTTGATAGTTATAAAAGAATTGAAACATTCAAGCTAAAGAGGTGGTAATAAAATTTTCTGATTACTGATTGATAAATTTGGTTGATTTTCCAGTAATTTGAGTAATATAATTTTAGATAACGGTGAGAGAATGTTAGTTGATTGTGATTCGAGGGGTAAAGATGAAATTATTGAACATCTTCAGAGAATTGCTGGAAGAAACACGTTAGTTTGTTTTGTATCTAACAGACACTTAGTTTTCACAGTTCATCACAATATTATAGTTTGCAATTTTTCACACAAAAAATCTGTAATTTGGTTGAAAGTAAAAATGTTCATCATTGCACACAGCAAGGTGCTCCAAGTGTGCTACAGGCTATTGATGATCAGAAAAACAGTTTGCTATAGAAGGGAAGTAACTCCATACTAAACTTATTTCTTAATTTCAGTGATAAGAGCCAAAGATATGATGATGGTAAAACATATACAAAAAATCTGATTGGTTACGGTTGTTCAAGATATTGTATCTGTGAAGTTCCAGGACATGTTCCCTGCCCAGGATGGGTTCCACTTCCTAAAGAAATGAGAGGCAAACATAAATACCAGAAGAAGGATGTAGAAGAGGCACAGTGATGTACTGGATATCAGAGACTAGTGACTAAGGGTCAGGGTTAGTTTAGATAATCATATAGATTTATAATCAAATTTCATCATGAAATTAGTGATTAAGGAATTCTGTTTAGATATCACTAGTCCACAGCCAGCCAATAGACTGACTATTACAGTCAAATCATCAGTTAATCAGTTAATTGTGTAGTGATGTCTGTCAACTGTACAAATGTTCTTTATTTTCCTTGAGTATTTCTACTCATCGGATAAAAATACAAACAAATAAACAAGCACAAATATACAGAATACATACAAATACAAACACAAATATACAAATACATACAACACAAACGTATATACATGCATAATGTTACACAGAGAGCTTCACATATTTGATAAAAATTCATTTCGTTTATTAATTGATAATTTTAAATAAATGAATAGTTTTTTCAATAATGAAGAGTTTTTTGACGAAAGAAGTTTGATAAGTTTGTACATATTGGGATAATTATAATAATAATGTTTAATATATTTACATCTATATTCATGGTACAAAGGACATAGCAAAATAAAGTGGAACTCATTGAGATTATTTGATAAACAGAATTGACAAAATCTTTCCGTAAGGAGTTCACAGATAAACGTATTTTTACAATATTCAAAAGATGAAATTTATATACTGGCTTGGTGAGGTATGGTTGAATCTATTGACTAGATTGATGTATAATGTACCTTTTGGATAATCACATATAAGTTCATGACATTCTTGTTTAAAGTTATCGAAAATTGTTTCTTTAATAAGTGAAAATGAATGTAAATAGAGTTGCGGATTTTCCCAAATGTGTCCAAGACCAATTTTGTATAAATTTTCTTTAATATTTAAAAGCCAAATATCACTATGTTTATAACTATCTATTAAGCAGGATTTCAATAAAATATTTTCTGAATTTAAAAGCTTTAACCAATATTTAAAAATTCTACAAAATCGTATTATATACAAAGGAAATCTACCGAGCTCGTAATATATCATGGCATTCATTGTTGAACGTTTTACTGTGAGAATAGTTTTTAAAAATAATAAATGAACAATTTCTATATCTCTACCTTTATGAAAGCCCCAAATTTCACAACTATAATTAAGAATACTACTAACATAAGAATCAAAAACATGTAACATAGTTTCAATATTAAAATAATTATTGTTGCATATATTTAAAATAGCGAAAAGAGCTTTTCTCTCTTGTTCTCCCAATCTTTTTTGTGTTTTTAGAAATTTTCCATTAAAGTTTAAAAGCATACCAAGGTAGTTAAATTCATCAACAGTTTCTAATTTATTATTATTAAAATACCAAACTTCATTTTGTTTAATTTTTCCACTATTCCTAAAAATTACAACTTTGGTTTTGTTGATGTTGACAGTAAGATTCCATTTAGATGTATATGATTGTAAAGAGTCTAATAATTCTTGAAGTCCTGTAATGGTTTCTGAAAATAACACTTTGTCATCTGCATACATTAAAAGAAATAAATTAAGAGTGTCTAAAGTTAATGAAGGGCCACCATTTTGAATAAACGAAGACTCACAGTCATTCACATAAATTGGAAAAAAAAGTTGAGAAAGAATTTCACCTTGATATAATCCATTCTTACAATCAAAAAAATCTGAAATACTTTCATTTGACTTAACACAACATTTGACATTACTATACAAAGATCTTATAATTCTCAATACTTTACCATCTACCCCTTCTTTGATTAGCTTGTACCACAAATTTACTCTTTGAATTAAATCAAAACATTTAGAATAATCAATGAAGCAACAATAAAGACGTTTTTTGGATCTAAGTGTTTTGTTGATCAATGTTTGGAGTACGTAAATAGCATTCGTTTTTGATAATTTCTTTCGAAAACCAAATTGGGTAGGGGAGATATTGTATTTCTTATCGTAATCTAAAATACGCTTATTTAATATGTAAAGTAAAGAGCTTGCCAATACAGCCAACTAACGTTATACCTCTATAATTATCTGGATTATTTACATCACCTTTTTTAAAAACAGGTATTATACAACCTTTATTCCATGAGGATGGATAGCATCCCAAATCTAAAATATTATTAAATAAACGTATTAAACTTGACATTAAAACATTTTTACAATAAATCAAAATTTCATTAGGTATGTTATCAATGCCTGTAGCTTTGTTCAGTTTCAAATCATTTATAGCAATTCTTATTTCTTCCTCAGTTACAAACTCGTCTTATTCTGGGTGGATAGATTCGGCATTTATTGGATTTGAATCATGTTCATTTACAAAATACCTGACTTCATCATTAATACAGATATCGGTTGAAAGTGAGTTCATTTTATTAAAATGATCATAAAATTCTTTCGATTGAATGCAACACGAAGCTCTTGATTTGCGTTTTTGGAACAATTTATAAAATAGTTTTGGGTTATTTTTTCCTCATGATATTTACCATGTTTCCATTTTGTGTTAAATAACATCCTAGTTTTCTTTCTAGTTTTTTGTAATGTGACTTATCTTGTATCAATATATCATGATTGTCTTTAGATTTATTTCTATTAAATGCAAATAATGAACTTTTATAACTGTGATATTTTGATTTACACAAGTCATTGAACCATGGTTTTTGAGTTGTGTTATGTTTTTTTGCCATACTAACATTCTTGGAACAAAAGGGTTTAATAAGATCACTGAGTTTGTTAGAGAAAAGTTCAACACTGGTGTCGATGTTACTCTGATTAAGGTCTGAAACTGAACAAATATCATCGAGTATAGATTGATTGGTATTTACAGCTCTCGTTATGTCATCAATATTATCATTGTTCCATTTAAATATTCTTAAGGGATCATTATTAACATTATTAATTTGTTTTGCTATACATTTTTGGTTTTCAAAACTAAATTTCAATGGAGAGTGGTCCGAAAATTCGTTAAACTTTCCAGAAATAAAATTACGAATTGGCCAATAAGTAATCAATCGTACTTGCACCCTTTGAATTAAAAAATGTAAAAGATCCAAATTTTTTTTCCTGATGTCTACCATTAAGAATTCGTAAACCTGTGGATTTGCATAAGGTCAAAAGTTCTCTACCGTACTGATTAACAACGTCGTCCATATTACATCTTTCCTTAAGAGATATATTAAAATCTGGAATATAAGGACAGACTTTGTCCAATAACTCAAAACTTGTCTTACTCAATTTATCATCTGAAATAAAATCTTCCTTACTCGAAGTTCTACTATAACAATAAATTCATCATTATATTTTGAAATTAATAATGTTAGAAGTTTAAAATATTCTGCATCTTGGTAATAAGGACTATTAACTGGGGGGATATAACATGCTATTACCACAATATCCTTATGTTCAGGGGAGGAACTTGCGATTTTGATAGCAAATATAGTGTGATCTATATTATCAATTATCGTGCATTGGGATTCAACATTGTTTGCAATAAAAATAACTACCCCACCCCCTTCACCATTCACTCTAGGAAACACATATGATTTATAATCTGATAGTTCTATACAATCCTCATCATTATTTTTTTCCTACCAGCACTCATATAAACATATAACATCATTCGAACGTAGAGCTTTTCTAAATTCTACATCATTCAGCTTCTTTAATTTTAGTCCCTTTCCTACATTCCAAGATAATATACGTAGCTTTGAACCGGAACTCTCTGTGTTGTCCTATTGTTCATGTGGGGTTGAGAATACTGTTGGGTGCACCTCAATAGACAAACTTGGTGGCTTAGGGCGTTTCGAAGGGCGGCTTGTTGCCTACTCCAATGGCCTCGATATTGCTGCATTGGATTTGGGTCTGGATTAGCCTTGGTTGCCTAATCGGAGTTGTAGGGGCTTGTTGTCGGGTAACACATTGAGGTAGTCTAATTGGGGTTGTAGGAGGGTATTGCTGTTGCAACAAATTACAATGTCTGTTAGAGTCAAATAATTCTCCATTTACAAAAAGTTTATCTCTTACCATTCTTACATTCTGACCGCTAGACTTTAGCTGTTTGAGCACTGGGTATAGTTTTTTACTCTCAGCTTCGATCATTGGAGGGAACTGTTCGCTTATCCCATATGGCATGTACAGTATTGTTTGTATTAATCTGGTATAAAGTATGACTGATATTATAGTTAGAGAGGAATTTTGGTATAATGAAGACCTGTGAGGAAATTGATAAAAGTCTCCATTAAAACCTGGACCTTCAATTCAGAATAGATGGTATCAATAACTCTGAAGAAATAAAGTGGTGTTTTATTTCGCACCAAATAAAAATACAATAAGATATAAGATAGAAACAGGACTGGGGAATTGCACAATCAGTGAACAACCTTTTATAGAATTGAACTCATACTGCTATCTTCCTGTATCAACCTGTATCACTTAATTAGTCATCAACACATGTACAGGTCAATACAGGTCTGAACAGGGTGATTGATATTGATTAAATAGGCATGTTACTATCACTAAATGCAAAATATTATTAGTTGTGACCATAGAGTTTAAAATACTGAATATATAAAATTGGGTAGCAACCTAACAACCTGGATAATCAGAATACATAATTGAATTAATGCCCTTGGCTACAATAACACTCAAAACATGAAAACAATTATTTATAATGGCTATAATATTCATACCAATAATATCATTATTGTTTGAACTTTCTATATTTATTTAATTTTTATGAACAAACCGTTCAATAATAGTTATAGCAAGTAAAAATATAAAACAGATTAAAACAAAAATCCCTATTAGAATCACAATATTACAGGCGTCAAGTTAATATAACATGAGATAATATAAGGTGCAGTATTAATTGGTTGCCTGAACCAATAATTACAATCAGCTTGTATTTATCAAATTTTGCTTGAAGCTATTAAAACTAGAATACCCTAAAACAAAAACAGACAGGATGATCACGATTGAAAGTTTTGAGCTTGTTGACGATAATATTCATCTTTAAGATCTTTTAAATTATGTTCTAACATTTCCATCTCGTCCCACCGTTTAGCTTCTCTGGCCTGTTTGATATAACCTCGAATAATCTCCATTTGTTGAAGCATTGGATCACCCACTTTACTCACTTTAGAACCTTCTTCAGTTGGTTTCCAGCCGCGACCTACACTATCTTGAGAGTCATTCCGAACGTGTCCTAATTTTTTACCGATTGATAAAATTTTGCCAGGTTTTTCACTTTCTTCTTGATTAAAACGTTCACGATTTTGAGCCTCCATGGCTGCTTGCCTTTCGGCAGCAATTTTTCGTTGAACCTCAGCCCGGCGTTTAGCTTGAAGTTCTTGATATTGTTCTGAAGTAGGAAGAGCCTGTAAACCCATTAGATTTTCCTGCATAAATCCGCTAGCAGACATTCGAATAGCTTTCTGTAATTGTTGTTGTTTAAAGGCACTGGGAGAATCAGGTTTAATTTCTAGATTCTGAATCTTCTTACTGAAATATATAAACATCTCAATCAATCCACTGTAAGAGAAATAATCTCTCTCCTGTAAATAATCTTTCTAAATAGAAAAAGATAATCCTTACCTGATCTGATCCACAGCGTCATATAATCTAATCAATTTAGTTCGTAATAATTCAGCTTCTTTTAAACTGTATGTAGCTTCTCCCATGCTGCAATATAGTTTTAATATTATTCGAACACACTGCATTGTTTTCAAATTGACTTGACTTTTGTTGCTGACTTTTGGAGATTTTATTTAGAGCATTTTTTAAACTTCCACAATTTTTTTGCAATCGATCTGAAAATTTACATGTAGATAGACATTTTGATTGCAATTGAAAATCTGCTTTAAAAATTTAGATATCACTTCCGGTTTTGACGTCATTCGCCCCCAAACTTGAAATTTTAACTTACGAAATTTTGTAGATATTTGAAAAATTCTTTTTGCAAATAGCTATAATTGTCCCTGTAAATATTTCGGAATGAAAAAATTTGACCCGGAAGTATTGAGTAAGATGCCATCTTGAAATGACTCATTTTTGTAAAACTCATAATGGGGCCTCAGGGTAAAATTGGATGTGCATAAATTTGATGTTTATGTAAACTACAATCGATTGCTAACAAAACATGGGAAGCCGATTTTTGAATTTGGGCTTTGTATTTTTTTTATTTCCGTAATTGTCAAAACTATTAAGGCTCATATCTAGTGACTTTGACCTTTGGTGACCTTGTGACCTGAACAAAAGTTGTTGCCCCTTCTGAGATATATCCGTTGATATCCTCACGTTTGTTGTGCATCGTTAACTTCCGATTCTACAGCCATTTGAAAATCACGATTTTGAACTTTGAAGAGCTCTGTCACGTGACCTAATTAACATACGACAAAAATTCTTATATATTGTTAGAGTGCATGAAATCTCCTTTTTGGTGATATATCACACTTGATATTTTGATCAAAATTGCGCGTTTTAAAAATTGAAAATTTTGTGCTGACTTCTATAGTAACTGTGCGTAAAATCACGGTGTCTATAATTTACCGACAGTCACCGTTGCCTTAAAAAACTTTTAATTATCTCATGATCTAATGATTGTAAACACTTGAAATTTTGAACATTATTTAACAATGTACACATCATCACACACAAATTAAAATTTTTAAAGTGGGCGTGGCACATTTGGTGTGCATTTACTGTACCTGAAATATTTGCAATGGTCATAACTCCATAAGTTTCTAATTGTTACCCTAAAAATTTTGCATGAAAATAGGTCACTACTTACGACAATTTGTGATAAGATTACAGTTGTTTGCGTTCTTTACTTTAAAAAAGGGAATAAGTTTAACAATTTTAAAAATTTTCTTTTTTGATCTTTAACATAAATGACCTTAACCATTGTATGGTCAAAGGTCATTGATTTAGGATGACCATTCTTAATTTGATCTTTGATGTCCGATAAATACTTTCGTTTTGGCAGACGTCCGAAAACAGCAATTTTCGAAACTTCAAAGGCTCATATTACTTTTATTTGACCTTTGTTGACCTGAACAAAAGTTGTTGCCCATTACGAGATATATCACTTTTGTTGTGCATCGTTTACTTCCGGTTCTACAGCCAATTGAAAATTGCGATTTTTAACTTTGAAGAGCTCTGACCTAATTTACATGAAAATTTCTCTTATGTCCTTATTACACGCAATCTACTCTTTCAAATGATATATAACACTTGGTATTTTGAATAAAATTGTGCTTTTTAGAATTTGAAAATTTTGTATTGACTTCTATAGTAACTGTGCGTAATTTTAACAGTGTCTATAATCCACCGACAGTCACCGTTGCCTTAAAAATACTTTTAACTACGAATCTCATGAGCTAATAATTGTAAACACTTGAAATTTTGAACATTATTTAGCATTGTACACATTATTACAGACAACACAAAATTTTTTAAGTGGGCGTGGCAAATCCGGGTTACTTTTACCTTACATATTTCAAATTGTTATAACTCGCAAAGTTTACATTTGTCACCATCGAAATTTTACATAAAAATAAATCACAATATGGGACAATAAGTGATAGAGTTACATTTTGTTTGGGCCTTTTACTTTAAAAAAGGGAATAGGTTTTACAATTTATAAAAGGTCAAAGTTCATTGATCTATGATGTCCAATTGTCCATTCATACTTTTATCTTTGACGTCTGACATATATTTCCGCTTTTACAGACGTCCCAAAACAGCAATATTCAACACTTTTAAGGCTTATATTCTCTTTTATTTGACCTTTGTTGTCCTCTTGACCGTAACACAAGTTATTGTACTTTACGAGACCTTTCCAAACATATTTTCATTTTTGTTGTGCGAATTGAACTTTTAACTTTACAGCTATTTAAAAAATTCGACTGAATGGTATCAAATTCATGCGCCTTTTCACTACAGAACGTAGAAATCCCATTGTGACTTTAAAATGCAACGTTTTATCGATGTATCAGGTTGGATGCGCACTGCTTCGGTACCGTTTTAACGGTTCTAGTTATTATTATTATTATACTACAGCTTGATAACAATTGGTCATAGTCTCACAGTAAAACATATTGTAGAAACAAGAGGTAACATTCTCCTGTTGTAAGAGTTAAACCACCGGGGTTATAGAGAGCTGAATGATTGAAGGGAGGTAACTCTATACAGTTTTTAATTGATAGTTAATCATAAAAAGGTAATTTATAGAAAACAAGAAAATGGCAGCCTACCTTAAAGAATCAACCATGGGTAAGTATTGGGGAATATAACTCTTACCTTAAAGAATCAACCATGGGTAAATATTGGGGAATATAACTCTTACCTTAAAGAATCAACCATGGGTAAATATTGGGGTATCAGATCGTTGGCATTACTCATACATTCTTGCATTTTCTGCAAAAAACATAAAATAATTTAAGAGAATTTATCAGCCAGGGTTTGTGGTATTTAGCCATCAACAAGTTCACTAATCTTTTTGATTTATTACTGAACTGAAATAAAACTTGATCTTGATAAATATTATCAAAACCTGAAAAATCTGAACACTGACCTCATATAAAACAACGAAGTTTGGTTTAATATTTCGCTGTTCCACCATCTGATCTCTTCGTTCTAATAATTTACGACAAGTTTTACAAACTCTCATGTGGCCCTCGGCTTCCAGACCCATCAGAGAATTTAAACTGGTACTGCTGTCGGAACGTTTTAAAAACCCACTTTCTCCTTCAAACGTTACTGCTGGGTTGACTAGCTTCTCTAAAATAATATTAAATTTCAAATAAAAAAAAAAACAGATGAACTAACTTGCCGGAAACATAATATTTATATTATACAGCATATAATACACAAATATTTATACTTATTTATATATATTTATATATATATATATATACCTATTAGAGCCAGAAAATATTCAGTAAAAACAAAAAACTTACGAGCATAAGTTAAAGTTAAAAACTCTGAACATTTATTACACATAATTCCCCCACACAGACGGCAGTGGTGCTTCCTTCGCATGATATTAAACGATTCCTCACAAGATAAACAACATGGCACCGCTCCATCTGGTACCCACGGAACCACAGACTTCTCAAATCCTGCAAGAGAAATAGTGGATCTGATTAATTCTCCTATTGTTTGTAAAAGAATTTATGAATAGAAAAGATTATGAATCCTTTCTAAATAAACTTAAAATAAAGTTTCAGCTATTTGACATTAAAATTCTGTTAAAATTTTTCAAGTATGTCAATAGGTTTCTCATTGAGATTAATACTCAAATAGTTTCTATAAATATTCATCACAAATATTAAATTAATCAATAAATAAATGTTTTTATGGAATATTTAGTTTGATTAGTAAATACTAAATTGTTATCAATATAAATATCACAGGTTTAATCTTTTCAAATTCTTTAAATAAGGTGGAAATCATCAGACATGATTAATAAATTTAATAGTCCTTCACACCAAAATACATGCACAAACTTGATAACCTCTAAAAGCCAAACAAATAAACTCTGATTGTTTTAAACTAGAAACAATCCATCCAGTCAAATATATAAAATATTTGTTGTTAGCTAGTTGTTAGTAAGTTTTCTATAGGTAAATTATCTAACTGTATACCATCACCATGCTAGCAAGTTTCAAGCCTATATATTCTGGTGTGAATATATACATACCAAGAATGTCTGAAAACATGTTTACTATACCCTTTCTTTTACTGGCCTCTTTCGGTGCTTCTGGGTCCAATAATTTATCTAATCTAATTAAAAGTTTGTTAGTTTCTACCACGAAATGATCAATCCTGGCATCGCGTACCGCTTTAAAGGCATCGGTATGATTCCGAACGCAACCTGAAATAAATAATTTCCAATGTTTTATTCACACATCAGAATATAATTTTTTCCAGCTCTGTACTGTATTGTATTCAGATAGATTTATACCTAGCAGTCTACTGAGTACTGGTACATCACATGGATCTTAGTCCACTATACTAGCTCATCCAATAATTGTCAACTGCCAGGACATTGAGATAGTTTAGTGAGTAGCCAGTAATTGTCGTCTGCCAGTACTCAATCACTTGTCTACTTGGTAAAACTTACCCAGCTCTTGAAACTCCCACCATGTTGGATCGAATCCAGAAAGATTTAAATTAGGACTGGAATCACTTGAACTATTTTCACCAAACTCATTTTCTCGATCACCCAATATTCTCTTCTTAGCTTTATCAAAAAACCCTGTAAATACAATTATTTACCCTATAAACAGACAATCATACTAGATTTTATAATATTTGTTGAAAATAAGTTATAAATTAGTAAGCTTTCATCACCTAGAATCACCATTGAAATTACCTCAAAACCTAAGTTGGTGTACCAGGGAGAAAAAAAACATCAAAACCAATTTTTACCTTTTAACGACTGAAAAACAGCTTTATCTTCCGAAGAATGAGCAACTTCAAAATGTTCTTGTAGTTGAGAAACAGTTCCAAAATCTTTCATACACATTGGACATAGAAATCCCTCCATAATATTTCCTGTGTCAGCCATTTTCTAGTTTTTTCTTAATTCCCTTCACTTGTAGATAAAAATCATGATCTATAATAAACAATATAGCAAACAGCAAATCATTCATTTGGAGAATTTTACAAGACACAGACAGTTTCAGATTTGACAAGTTAGAGGGGAGGGGCGTTTATAACGTTTCGCCTATAAATTTTACCATCTCTAGTAGCTTTCTGGATACTTACCATAGTAAACGTAATCTTAAAAGATTAAATTTCCAAGAAACTATAAATTCAAGTTCCCAGTCACACCAATAAATCAGTTTTTAAAACGAAATATGCCAAAAAAAATTATATTTTTAGTCTGACACTTCATACTCGCGTCAGATACTACAGCGAGGAACTTCCGTTTCCGTTCAAGATGGGAGCTGGCGAAAGTACACGAAAATTAATTGTAGAAGACTCGGTTATTGAAGTATGTTCTGCTGTTCAGAATTTAACATAAACAATAACACGTCAAGAAAAATATCAACGCTTTCATTTGTAACAGTTTCAATTGTCCCCTTTCTTTTTTGATATCTAGAAACTTGGCGAGTCCGAGAGCAGTAATTGTTTTTTTTTTTTCTATTTCAGGTATTTGCGGCAATGCCACCAGTAGTTTCATCATGATTGTTGACATTGAGTTTTATTGTTTCATATAAACTGTATATATTCGTTTAAAATGTTAATAATTGTATTCTTTAAAATTAATATTCCATTTATAAACACCAGGTGTCCGATTCTGTAGTAAGAAGATTAAAAGGCCAGCCTGAAGTTCAGTCCATACCCAACCCCAAGCAGTCACCTCCAAAACAACAACAGGAACAACAACAAGATGGCAAGGGAAAGAGCAAACCTCAAGTGAAACCAGGTTGGTACAGTTTTAATTATAATTGTCATTAATAAAGTTAAGTTTGTTTTTATTTCAACACAAACATTTTAATTCATTTCAATATTTCATTCAACTATAAAAACAAGATTTAGAAATTATATTTACATGTCTACCAATAACTTAATAATAACTTGTAATATCATCATTCTTTCTTACAGATTCTAAACCAAATAAAGCTAAAGAAGTTTATGTAAGTCACTGAAGTTTTTTATCTTCTGACAGTGTTTTTATCCGCCCACATGAATATGTCATCGTATATTGCCGTCGCCCCTGTCCGTCGGTCCGTCCGTCAACATTTGTTGTGAGCACTATAGAGACTACAGTTTTTATATGCCCACATGAATATGTGGTCGTATATTGTCGTCGCCCCTGTCCGTCGGTCCGTCCGTCAACATTTGTTGTGAGCACTATAGAGACTACAGTTTTTATATGCCCACATGAATATGTGGTCGTATATTGTCGTCGACCCTGTCCGTCGGTCCGTCCGTCAACATTTGTTGTGAGCACTATAGAGACTACAGTTTTTATATGCCCACATGAATATGTGGTCGTATATTGTCGTCGCCCCTGTCCGTCGGTCTGTCGGTCAACATTTCTTGTGAGCACTATAGAGATTACAGTTTTTATCTGATATTGATAAAACTTGGTGTGATGCTTTAGATTGATAAGATCTCGGTCAAGTTTGAATTTGACATATTTTCGATGAACGGTTTTTGAGATATTGCCCTTGACTTAGAATGACTTGAAATTTGTTAAAAAATTGTTTGTGAGCAGGATTGAAGCTACAGTTTTCATCCGATTCTGATGAAACTTGGTGTGATCATTGAAATTCATAAGATCTCAGACTAGTTCTAACTTGACGCATTTTCGATGAACGGTTTTTGAGTTATTGCTCTTGACTTTGTTAAAATGAGTCGAAATTTGTTAAAAGCAGTTCGTGAGCAGGATTGAAGGTACAGTTTTGAACTGATTCTCATGAAACTTGGTGTGATCATTGGAATTGATAAGATCTCGGACAAGTTCTAACAAGAGATATTTTTGATGAACATTTTTTGAGTTATTGCCCTTGACTTTGTAAAGACGCGTCAAAAGTTGTTTTTTGCCCTTGATTAGAGCTGTGTGATTTAATTGTTTGTTGTATTTGGGTTATTGATATTGATTTTAAAAAATTTTGTTTAATTATTCAGCATAAATAATTTCTTCAATATGAGAAAATTCGTACTTTAGTCACTAAAGACTGTTTTATTATTTCTGACAGCTGCCAGTGGGCGTATGTTATCTTGCAACGCAAGCTATCTTTATAGTCCTTTATGAAAAGTTGTAGTGTTCAAATCAAATCATTGTTGATTTAATGATAATGAGTGGTATGTTATATTCTATTGATAGATTGATAGACCAGTCTACTATCCAGTACCATCACAAGATACAAAAAAAGCCATTCAAGAAGTTGAAGCTTTTTATCAAGAAAAATTAAAACAGCTTGAAGCCAAGGTATCTATCCTATCTATCTATCCTATCTATCCTATCTATCCTATCTCTATCTATCTATCTATCTATCTATCTATCCTATCTATCCTATCTATCTATCTATCTATCTATCTATCTATCTATCTATCTATCTATCCCATCCATCCTACCTATCTAATCTATCCTATCATATCTATCTATCTATCTAATCTATCTATCTATCTATCCTATCTCTCTATCTCTATCTATCTATCTAATCTAATTTAATTGAACATTAGGACTATTAATAAATACCAGTCAGAATTGATTATGAACCACACTTTCCAGTCAATCTTGTTTTTGTCTTCTTATTTCAGAATGCCCAGCTACAGAAAATAACAACAGAGCAGTTTGCCAAGGCTGTTCAAGAAGTAGAACAGAAATTCTTGTAAGTTATTTACTTATATTATAGTAGTTACAAATAAAATATTACAAGAAGCAGTACATGTAAGTTAAAATGAATTATTCTGTTATTATCTGTTTTCAGAAAGCAAACGGGAAGCCCAGTATGTGATGATATCCAGGGGAAAGTTTATAATTGTTATTCTTCCAAACCTCAACAAACTTTAAACTGTTGGAAAGAAGTGGGGGCCTTTACATCTTGTGTTGAGAGAGCTAGATTAGTAAGTATAGTATTTGTTGAAAGAGCTAGATTAGTAAGTATAGTATTTGTTGAAAGAGCTAGATTAGTAAGTATAGTATTTGCTGAAAGAGCTAGATTAGTAAGTATAGTATTTGTTGAAAGGGCTAGATTAGTAAGTATAGTATTTGTTTTTATTGTTGTTTGTCAGGTAATGATAGAAATAATGACAGTGAAAGGAATGTATGTCTCTATTACAAGTTATATATCTTCTTGTTAAACTGAATCAGAATTACATCTTATATATAACTATATTTTATTTCTCTTTAGAATGCTATAGCTAGAAGAGGTTGATTGGATAGTAAATGGTAGAATATGATATCAGTGATTGTTAATGGTTGATTGGTGAAATTAAATAAATTAATGAAATTAGAGACAATAGATACAATGTGTGATATAGAAATACAAGTCACTTTATAATATAATAAATATTTCTATAAAAACACTCTCCTCTTTATTCTCTTTGCCCTATTCTACCTTCTTTGTATTGTGTAAAATAGAGTTACCTACGTTCAAATATGGACTCACTCCACTAATTCATTTGCCATCTCTTCCCATGTTAAAACAAGAAATTCAACCTTCTACAACTTTTTCCAGAAATTTGTTGGAAGCTTACCAATATATCGAATGAAAGCCTGACCAATTCTCAATGTCTCCTAAAAAATTCAATATATGATGACCATAAAAAAATTTGGAGCTACTAAAATTGAAAGTAGACTACTACCGGTTATACTCATCCGCTAGAGTTTGGCACATTACCAAACGACTATTTTTATACACCCACATGAATATGTGGTCGTATATTGTCATCGCCCCTGTCCGTCGGTCCGTCCATCAACATTTCTTGTGAGCACTATAGAGACTACAGTTTATGTATGATTTTGATAAAACTTGCTGTGATGCTTTAGATTGATAAGATCTCGGTCAAGTTCGAATTTGACATATTTTCGATGAACGGTTTTTGAGATATTGCCCTTGACTTAGAACGCCTTGGAATTTGTTAAAAATTGTTCGTGAGCAGGTTTGAAGCTACAGTTTTCATCCGATTCTGATGAAACTTGGTGTGATCATTGGAATTGATAAGATCTCAGACAAGTTCTAACTTGACGCATTTTCGATGAACGGTTTTGGAGTTATTGCCCTTGACTTTGTTAAAACGCGTCGTAATTTGTTAAAAAATAGTTCGTGAGCAGGATTGAAGCTACAGTTTTCATCCGATTCTGATGAAACTTGGTGTGATCATTGGAATTGATAAGATCTCGGACAAGTGCTAACTTGACGCTTTTTCAATGAACGGTTTTTGAGTTGTTGCCCTTGACTTTGTAAAAACGCGTCAGAATTTGTTAATAAAAATAGTTCGTGAGCAGGATTGACGCTACAGTTTTCATCCGATTCTGATGAAACTTGGTGTAATCATTGGAATTGATAAGATCTCGGACAGGTTCTAACTTGATGCATTTTTGATGAATGGTTTTCGAGTTATTGCCCTTGACTTTGTAAAAACGCTTCAAAATTTGTTCGTGAGCACAATAGAAGCTACAGTTTTCAACCGAATCTGATGAAACTTGGTGTGATTATTGGAATTGATAAGATTTCGGACAAGTTCTAACAAGAGATATTTTTGATGAACATTTTTTGAGTTATTGCCCTTGACTTTGTAAACACGCGTCAAAAGTTGTTTTTTGCCCTTGATTAGAGCTGTGTGATTTAATTGTTTGTTGTATTTGGGTTATTGCAGTTTTGATTTTAAAAAATTTTGTGGAATTATTCAGCATAAATAATTTCTTCAATATGAGAAAATTCGTACTTTAGTCACTAAAGACTGTTTTATTATTTCTGACAGCTGCCAGTGGGCGTATGTTACCTTGCAACGCAAGCTATCTTTAGAATTAGCCTTCAGCCTTTAGGTCTTCCATCATCTCACCAAATCTGAAAGATAATGCAATTTCAGACATTCCAAATCTAGACCAAAAATTACCCAAAAATAGGCATGCGAAAACCCCAAAAGGGGGAGAGAAAGAAGATTTCTAAAAATAGCCTGGACTACATTCATATGAACTCACTCCACTAAAACATTTTATGCAAATGATTGTATAGGAATGTAGTCCAGGCTATTTTAAGAAATCTTCTTTCAATTTTTATATGAGTCCTGTCTGGTAAGGTCATTTATTTTTTAGTTTAGTTTAGTGCTGGCTTTGACACTTATGTTGCCAGATTTTGGAGTTGTAGTATAAAAGAGAACACGTTATTATGAAAAAGACTGATTTTTCTTTTTTTTTCATTTCAAGGCAAATTATACATTTAAATATCATTTCGAATGTGAATAATCATCCAACTGCTGCAAAGCACTAGGTAAAATTTTGTCTAATTGTCCTTTTCTGTACCCACTGTCAGTTGAATTGAAGTTTTTATATTTTGCAAATTCATTGTTCATTGGTCTTGTTTCATAATCTCTATGGAACACTGATTTTTTCTTAATACTGCTTAGTGCTTGTTAACTCTTAGGGGACTATTTTGACCCTATAAACTCTGCTTTTTTCTGTGTTGCCTCCTTTATCCCAATATTTGATCGAAGAATAGTCGATGATAGCTGCCCCATAGCATTTCTTCCATATTTGACACTCTTTGGAAGCAAAATTTTTATGGATCGATTTATTGGTTTGTCAATGGCTTCCTCAATTAATCTTATTTTCGAAAGTTCATTTAACAGAAACTTATCATTGTCATTCATTTCCAGGCTCGTTAAGTTGTTTGAAGCCAGAAACATGGATCGATTCCACCAGTTGTTGCTGTGACCGCCACTACAGACCACGGAGTTGGAACGGCACTTGGAACAGTCTTCATCGTAGCACATAACAGTTGCTTGTAGTATTTTCAGTTTTTTTCAGTTTGTCCACATCTCCGCAGTAAGTAGAGTACATCTCTTTGATCACAAGGCTACACCTAGATTTTATGTCCTGGCTCAAAGTTTTCTTTTGATTTGTTTTTTCAACTTTTGTTTTGCCTCTGAACATTCCGTCGCTAAAATTAACCTTAAAACATTGGCGAAACTGAGATGCACTAAGATGGGCTGGGTCAGCTAGTCTTTCAACTTTCCACATAGGATGTAAAGTTCTCATTGCCTCTTCAATTCCGGTAGCTGACGTTGAATCTCCGTCTGTTGTGGCAAATTTGATGAGCACCCCTTGAATAGATAAATCTTCACCAATTATTCTCCCCATTTCTCTCTCAGAAAAAAGGTGCATGTCTTGTCAGATTTGCTGTGCATCCCTCGTGTCCTGGACAGTTGACAGTAATGCCTGTGTTTCTTAGCCACGCTCCATTCCAATAAAGTTTATTTTGCAACACAGCACTTATGATATATTTCTTATCTGTGTTTGTCTCACAAGCAATGCCGATTGATTGGGATGCTCCGGGTTTCTTGCTGTGTCCTATGGTCAGACAATTGTACCGACCATCCAAAGCCACCCTTATCACGTTAGGGTTGGAAGCACCTCTTCGTCTATTGACATTTTTCACCTCTTCCACCTTAGTTCTCATGCTTTCATTGTTCAAGTCAGTTGTCTTTGAACTCACATAATTGGATAACTTGGACATACCACTTTCAGCTGGTGGGGGAATGAATTGC